AAATAGCCTAAACAGTACTGGATATTCAAGCTGTGGACTATAGTGAAATTCAACAATGCTGATAGTGTGTGTCTCCTATTACAGGCTCAAATGGACATCTACTCTCAACTGTCTTCTGATAAGAGGAAGTGGAAAAAGTGATCTGTGCCAGAAAGGAGGAAGTAAATGCTTCCTTGCACTCGACAAAATAAACATGTAAAAATGTTATGCATGTATAATAGACTATTAAATTGCTTGACTGCATGTAGGCTTGCCTTTAGTACCATCCTAATGCATACAAAATATATTATACAACATTATACAATTAGTTAAATGTGGACTGCGTAACTAGTTAAATGTGGACTGCGTAACTTTTCATGCAGAGTGTTTGCTACCATAAAATTGCTGTTGCTTTTGCCTGTAATGGTCCACAATATAGTATTAAACTTATATAAGATGCATTTATGTAATTATGGGTGTTTTATTGCTCAAAAATACCAATAAAAACATGAATTTTAGTGAGTGGGGTCACCACTTCACAGATCTCACCTGTACATTGGCCTGGTGGCATCTCCAAATTGCCTCTATGGAGATTGATAAGTTTAATGTCAGCATTGCATGCAAAGCAAAAACATTTCCATGTAGACAAGCTACTGGTAGGCCTTCTACCAGAAAAGTTTCATAGGGTACCTTAAAGAACATTTCACTTCCCAAATATTTGTCACAATATATTAGTTTGACTTTCAGTGACTAAAATTCTAACTGCTAACAGCTGATGTGTCCCACTTGACTCACACATGCTGGTGTCAGGTCTCTCCTTCAGTCAGGGCTTGGGATTGCAGTTTTAATAGCATCTGTTGGACCATAAATTTTTCCTGCCAAGCGCTTTTAAAAAGAGACCTCTTACATTTATGATACAAAAATGGTAAAACATTGTAACAGTTCTTAAAGGTGCACTGTGCAACTTTTCTGGAGGGCTCTGCAACTTGTTTTGTCTCCATAGAGATGTTAATGCTTTGGTTTACATTGTCCACAGTATGGTATTAAACTAATTTGTCTTGCTTTTATTCAACTACGGATGTTATTTATTGCTCAAAAATATCTTAAAAAAGATCTATTCCTTCTGTGAGTGGGGTCGCCTCTAGGCAAATCTAGCCTGTAATTTGGCTTGCAAGTCTCTATGGAGATGCTTAAATTTATACTGTGGGGCATTCTAGGCACATCTCCATGGACACAAGTAGGTGACGGACCCTCCAGTTTCACAGTGCATCTTTAAAAACAATATGTTACACTTATCTTATTGAATATGGGCTATCATTATTATGCCACTGAGACTAGATAAGTTTAAGGTTAATGTTGCCTAAGTAAAAGTGCAGTGATCCATTGCAGTTTCAGTTAAGCCCACAAAAACACAGACTGTATTTGTCTGCAAGGTCCTTCCCTGGGGAGCCCGAAAGTCATAAAGGGGAAGTTCATGGTTGCTTTCACTCATTTCAAGCCCTCCTGCAATGCTGTAAACATGTGCCGTTATTTGGCTTATTACACAGCAGGCATGAAGCTGCACTGTGCACTGGGAATGACTAATACCCCCCTTTGTGCAAGAGCGGATGCACTTCTCAAAGACTCATTGAATTACAAATGTATTTCTATCGTTCTATGTGGTTATATCATATTTCTCTGCATAAGTTATTTCAGTGGTTGGTAGACACTACATCATGATAGGATCATACATTTTAGTGGAGTTACAAGTTGTAGGATTAGAGTAAAAAGAACAGCCTCACTGCTTTGTTCTATGATATGCCTGTAGCTCTGACAGTCAAACTAAGAAGCAGGTCGTCATAAAGAAGTGGGTTCAATGTTTAAAATATTCATGTGAGCAGAAGAGTGCCGCAGAAATGGAGAGGATTTGGTGCATACATCAGAAAAAGTGCAGCCTTCATGCTGGTCTTCTCAACTACAACAGCAGCTCATCCAACGTGACCTTATTTTAGTTGACTTTCCCCTTTACTCTGATGAGAAAGTTCTCCTTTGGGAAACTCAGACCTAGATTTAGTTCTAGTGGGTGCTGTGTGAAAAATGAAAATTACTTATGTTTAACCAGGTGGCCTGAAGAAATTGAATTGTACGAATATGTTTTCAATAGTATAAAAATGCTTTGCTGTCATAATCATTCTAACTATACGTTTCTGGCCACAGGCAAATAAACCTCTCCAATGCAAATGAACATGAAGACAGCCGCTGATAAAACACCCTTGTTAAGCCTCTTCAGCATGCTCTGAATGCTGCCACCACTGACGGCTGTGGCTTTGCTTCTTATTCTGAATGTGTCAAATCACATAAAGCCAAGGCATTTGAATATGCTGTTTGTTCAATTCACTAAGTAGGCCCACAGGGGACTGCTATCATAGTTGCAGTCAGTTAAATATAACTTTTTTGCACTGCAGGTATTTTCGTCTCATTCTAAATCAGCCTCTCTTGTCTTAGCTATCTCTTGGAGCCAGCATGTACTAATACAAGTTTTCATGGTGTTGAAATATCTGCATCTCTCACAGTATAGATAGAACTTGTTTCAAGGCATTTTCCTCATAGACTGATGGCGTGAGGGTGGCAGTGGCATTGGGCCATCCTACCTGTCTAACACCTGTCATATTGAAATGTAAATGTGGCTCTCTTGTAATGAGTGCAGGAACTATGAATAAGTATTTACCCAGTACTTCAGTCCTCACTGTTTAAACAATTGTTGGTATCAGCACAGGAGTCTCTATCTGAAGAGCAGGTGCCAATGTCAACACAGGTCTATAGCAGGATTATGAATCTCATTTTCTCAACAGTGACAGTTGAAATAAATTATGTTAAATTTCTCAAAGTTTTCCTAATACGAATGTCAATTAGTGTAAGAGTGGTCCTGCATCCACAGTTTTACTGTCTGCAAACGGGGCTGCCGCAGGCAGCACAATGCATTAGCGCACGGTGAGCTGTCAGAGAGGATTATTTCAGCCACGCCAGTCAGTGAAGGGGGTGGGCGCGCTCTGCTGCACTAAACCCAGAGAGCGTGGGAGGAGATAGAGAAGGGACTCAAACAGAAGGAAACGGGAGAAAGTGTCTTTCTGAGCGGTGGATTTTTCCAGAGCACCGATGTTGGAGCACTCTTCTGAGCTGGCCCTGGTGCAGAGTTTGTATGCCAACAGCATGCGCTGTCCCCCCTCTGCGGCCGGGATCTCTGTCAGGAATGAGGACCTGCCTTTGAGGTACGTTGGCTTGTCCCCTCATTCAGATCCCGCTTGTGTGGAGCAGTATGTATTTGTACTACTCTTTGTCTGGACTGGATATTGTCCTAGGTTGTTTTGTTTCCAGTTAAGGCATTCTTCCGTGATATGATCACTGTTGTTTCTCTTTCCTGGGAAACTAAAGGGCTTCATTTAACACTATGAATGAGTGAGTCTATAATGTCAGACCTGTCTGAGTGAGCAGGCTCTTGTACTGTACAAAATGACTTTTTATTAACCGTCACTTATGTGTGGAAACTAAGGTAGGATAAAACTTTGAGTTAAATGCAACAAAAAGGAGCACTTGATACAGTGAGGCCTGTTTTTAAATGGGCAGAATTGAACAAATGTATACAAATGGATCAGATTCAGTGAATTTTTGCATGACAAGATCAAGTTTACCCTCCATTTTGAGAGCTCTTGGTAGATCATTGGTGTGCATTTGCTTTAGAAATATACCACGTCTGAGAAATGTGCCTGTTATATGATGGAGGTTATATAGTATTTTTTGAGAAACTACATAAGTATAACTGTTTAATGGTGCTGCTGCTCAACTGTGAACAAAAACATTTAATGTAAACAACAAAAGCATGGTACATGTGAAGGATTATGTTGGGATTACAGTTGTAATAATCTCAGATTAGGAATGGGCTAGTGTTAGAAGGTGCCAACAACTGCACCAACCATCAGATTTCACATAGTCTCAGAAATCAAGATATATCCATGGCATATTGTAGATTTTTTGTCGGTATTATGGAAATGGGAGCGGCTCTTTAGGAGAATAGTCTTCATAACAAATCTTTTCAGTGTGATCCCCTGAGATCCAATTGAGTCAAAGAAAATGTGTGGATACTGCAGATGGAGCGACATTATTGTATTTTTCCTCCATCTTAATGAAACCTGATTCTCTAGAGAGGTCTAGATTGCCTTTTTATAGCAGACCCTCAAGCTTTAATGGTAATGCATGTTGCATAGTGGGCTTGTCTGCATGTAGACAAAATAGGTCGCATATCACATTATGCACCAACCCATTTTAGACACCGTTTAATGGAGCTTCTTCAGTCCTGGTGCCAGGTTGCCTACAAAATGCCATAGATACAAGGATTATGTGGGATTTCATAAATGGGATTTTTCTTAACACTGACTATGAATAATATTTTAGGATTGTGCAGCTGTTGAAGCAATAACGGTTGCTTTGATAATTAGGCTGGGCTCCCCTCAGCCTCTCTGCCATAGCAGTACTTGACAACAACAGCCCCCTACCTATCCCAAGTGTAGAGGCCTCGCCCAGCAAGTCCGGCACAACAAAAGAGGACAGGCGCCCCCTCCCCCATGAAACAAGGACCCATCACAAAGTGGAGCTGACCTGTGACCCCAGGAAACGGCCAACAGAAACTGCATGTTGAGTTTTGAGAAGATTTATGATCTGTCCGAAAGAGAAAATAAAACAAGTTAAACATAATTATAACACACGATATGACTACACTACAGGGTTGATCAGCCATTTATTTTAATAATACTCTCACCTCCTTATCCATACATGTAGCCTAAGCATAGACTGATTTGTGTTTAACACATTAGGGGGAATAAAGTCGAGATAATTAGCCCACATTATCCAAACAAATGAGGCACTAAACTAAAGCACCACGTGCATGTCCTTATGGAGGCAATAGCCTACAGTCGATTTACAACGCATTGTAAATCCACACGGGGCAGCAGTAGCTTTTCAGACTTTTAGAGAAAGCCACGCCTCTGGTTTGCTGCAGCTTGGTGTGCAATGTGACAGCGGCTTGCATGAAATTATTTGTGCTGGGGACGAGAGAGAAATTAGCAGGAAGAAACAAGGCGGATGCTTTTTCAGTTTTGAAGAAGACGCCCCCTCCCCGCACCTGCTCTGCCTCGTCTCCTCGGTGTCTCGCAGAAGTGGAGTGCAAGTGAGCGGACGTCGCTTCTCATTGTTAGATTGACGCTGGTTTGAGCATGACTTCGGCGTATAACTTGGATTTTCTCCCTCTGGCGGAAAGTCGGTTGATGTCTTCTGGCGACTCAGTGTAAGTAATGTATCTGTACATTTACGGTCCGTTCAGATTGTCCACAGGCGGTGAGCCGCACCTCGTGGCGCGTTTATATGTGAAACAAACAAGATAGTTCAAAGCGGAGGGAGTAGGCTAGCGCTAGCTTCACGAACAACTGTAATGCTAACATTGTTAGCATCTAACAGCCAACGGGGAGGGCTCACATGAAGTTAGGTTACTTTTTATAACTCCAGTAGTATTCTTGTATTTGACCCTAAATCAACCATACATGCATATATGTATAAAAGTACACTTGGGACGGAGTTGGAAGGAAACAAACAACGAAATGCTAGCGACCGCAAACTGGGCGCGCTACATTTGTCAAGTGACATGTGTTTCCGGAGATAAGACATTTCGATATTTGCGTTGATAAATCGTATTGATAAGCTTTATATAGAGACAGTGCGTTGTGTGTGAATGCCCATGGTAGTGGGCAGTTTCCTTTGCGGTCTTGGTCAGTGTAACAACTCCATCCCTACGCTGATGTTGGGTTTAGTTAGTTGAGTGAATTGAAGACTTGCGTTTGTTCGCATCTGGAAGTTCAAACTTGAAGGTAAAGCAATCAATGACAATTTTTTTTTTCGCAATTTCGCCCCTGGATGATGTGTCTCTCTTTGTAGTTGTGTGCCAGATACGCAGCTGCCTTACTGGACCTATTTTGTAGGCAGAACACGAGTCTCGCCCCTTTCCCTGTTAGCATTCAAGCTAACTGCTCCTCAGCCCATACTCAGGCTCAGAAGCCGCGGCTCGTCCATGTTGGGAGAGTGCTGCTGACTTGAGGGCAGAAACACGTGGTTTGTTACATTATTGAGCCATTAATGGAAGCCTTGTGACAGAGCATGTAAACAAGCAGAGACACTGGCCTGGCCCAGAGCTCATGTAATAACTCCCGTCTCAGCCTGTGTTTGCTGCCTTCTTTACATTTTAAACATTAGCACGTCTATATGCCACAGCACACTTTAAAACTGATACGTGCTTGGAAATAAAACGTATTTATTTATACAATCTTCACATTATTTTGTGAACTCTTTGATGATTATGGACTCATACTTATTGCAGTAACCAATCCAATATAGGCCTACATTTAAACCGACTGATTTTGAGTTGTTCAGTTTTCTGGGGTTTTGGCATAAGACCCTACATATTGCCATATCATTTAAAAAGGGCTAGTGGGCTATTGCATGCTTATGCAGTGATGGGTTTTTAGCATCCTTAAATGCAATGGTTTGAAGATTTAAAAATTTTATTTAAATTTTTTAAACACTGTGTCAGTGGTCCCAATTTTGACATTTTTACACCAATAGAAAGGCATAAAACACTTGAACATCAAGACCTCATGCATGCGGCAAAGAAGCTGATTAGAGCCAGCTGTATTTGATTGATTTATCGCTGTGACTGTTGACAGTGAGAGTGTCACTATCTGAGCTTAGGACACAATCCTTTGGCAGTCGTTCAGTGAGTTAAGTGTCACTGTGCTCTTGTGTGAGAGCAGAGCAGCTGATTATACAGAGTTTAGGACCTTGACTCTTGAGTGCGGGTTGGTCTGTCTGATCCCTTGTGGTCCGTACGATGAGAGAGCACTGGACAGCCAGATGCAGAATGCCTCTGGTTTGTCACCCGTTTTTGTCTGCTCCTGCTGCTGATTTGGAAGAGTAGTGATTAGAAGACAGCCCATACTGGGTCTTCACACTGTGCAGGAATGCTCATAATCCGGTGTTCTATCTCCTCCATGGTGCGCGAAGATCCAAGGTTGAACAAATTTATTTGCTAGCTCTGCCAACAGATATTGTAAGGAGCATTATAAACTCAAATGTATGGTACAGCATGAAAAACTGCCAGTAATTCAGTTTTCGTGAATGGTAATAAAACACAGTTCCACAAGGTCAGAATTAAGGGAAAAAAAGGTTTATTGTGAAAAAATTAAATCCTCACTGACAGATAGGGGTTAAGTTACAAAATTAGTAACAAAGTTAAACAATTGGCAATGAATATAAAAAAAATCTAAATTATAAGTAAACTAAGATAAACTTAAGATAAATTAGATTACATATCTATACAACTGTGTTTGAACGCAGTTTATAATTGCTTAAATAGTTGGATATGATAAGAATGAAAATGTTAGCTTGGCCTTTTTGGAAGACTAGCGCACACTGCTGAGTCAGCTTGAAGTCCTAAAAAAAAAACATTTTTTTGGCCCTTTTGCCCACCTCAATTTCAACACTGTCACAAATGCAGCACAAATATTGGCCTTGGGAACAATAAAACACAATAGTCCCTTTTTAATATTTCTGTTAGGCATTGCCTGCTACGTTAAACAAGCATGCCATGAAAACAAGCCATTGGGGTTTTAACATGGAAAGTCATGTATGTTTTTGTATAAGTTTGTGTGATCTACAAAAAGAGTTCTTGATGTGGAAAGGAACATTTCAGTTTTTGAAACTGAGTGGTCTGATCAATTCCTCTATAAAACCAACGTGGGCTGAACCCTTCATTTGCCCTTTATATATGTTCCTTTGTATACGTATGGATACATATAATTTATATAAGACTGCATCAGCCATTTTGTCTAATCATGACCATTGTAATACTCAGGCTGCACCTGCAACCAACAGTCATTTCACTAGTCGAGTTGTCTAGTCTGTGATTATTATTTTTTTCAATCACTGATTATTTTCATTCAATAAGCTGACAAGTCAAACGATATTGATGTTTTTGAGGTACATTTTCTACCACCTAAAGGTAAATATGCCTTCTAGGTAGAGAATATATATGAAATGTGAATTGTGTAATGTTAATGTTAAAAATGTGAATTCTTTTATAACATTTGAATCTACCATCAGTAATTTGACAGGCCAACCCGGCCTTGTTTTATTCTCACATATCACCGCTAGACTATACTATACCTCATTTTAATTTAGTATAACTTCAAAACAATTAAATTATTTTTTTTACTATATCTCCTACATCCAGCTTCAAATAAACTTAACTATTCTGCAATTAAACTGCTGCACTTTTGTCATATTTTTCCTTCTCTAAAAGATAAAAAAATGTTTGATTAAATCTCAATAATAATAATGGTATTATTATTATTATTATTATTATTATCATTATTACATCACGCTGTGGTCCACTGCTTTTTCAGGTCAGAATAATAGATTGCTGTGTGAGTCCCTCCGGTCACATGCCTGTCACAGTAATCAGAAGTAATTGGTGCTTTTAGCTGGATGTTAGTCTCTTCATTTAGCTTTGGTGATTGCTGCCCCATGTCTCACCTGGGCTCTTTACACCCTTAAACTGGCAGTGAGGTACCGTACGTATGTTAATGTTTACTAAACCGCATCTTACAAACAGCATCGCCATCTATAACCGCCAGAGGCCCTCGCTGTGATTACGGACCTAATGGGGCGGGCCTTGTCATCAGATGCAGGCCGTCTGTTAACATGAGGTCCATTCAAAGCCTGATTGAACATGTCTGTCTTCATCTGGAAAAGGCAACAATGAAATCAGCCCATATGAAGCCAAATGAAAGTTAATGCCAGGATGAAAATATAATGACTCCGCATCATATCCACTATGTACTGATTAGATCCCACTCACGATCAAAATGGAAACACACTCCTGTTTATGTTCTGGCCCCAAGCCACATCAATCCCCCAATGTCATTATTTCTTTAAAAGCTTTGTCACACTGCACTTCTTTCCTGATGATTATGAATATGTCTCACAGGCATTTGCAGTGAACACACTCAAAATGTGGTCATTGAGGTTGTAACCCGGGCTACGCGACCTAGTCTGACAGAGACATTCGTGACAAGTCAATTCAGCACATTATTAGGCCTGTCACGATAACAATATCTGAAGCATGATATATATTGTTGCAGAGAAATATTACCATAAACAATAATATTAAAACTACTTTATGCCACTGACACAAAGCAAGACAATACCAGAAAATAGACAGTATCACTAAAACAGTCAGGCTCAGGCCTACTTATTATATAACATTGCATTTCACAATATCAGAAGAAAACAATCTATATGCAGTCAGAAAGTTTGTTTTTTGTTAACATTAGATTGAGGGCATTATATCCTTAAAGTAATTACATCAAGTCATCTCTGTGAGATTATCATTTTTTAGATCTTAATTTAGCAGTAGTTCTGTCAGATGAAAGATATTATCCTCACAACTCAAATGGCTTTTAGAATCGTGCAGCTCAAGTTCCCATTTTTGGTCTGACAAGTGTGTTTTGATGTTTGGATTCGGAGCTTCTGAGACACTGCTCTCTACCTTTGATAAAATATTCATGTATTTTTAGGGACAGAACAGGAAGTACAATGAGCCAAGCCTGGGACAAACCAGTTTTTATGTCCAGTCTGTATGCGGCACAAGTATTATACATCTAAATAGTCTTTGCGTCTCTACATGGTACACAACTGTTTCACTTGTGCTAACTCATCGTGCTGGGGCCTGTGAACTTAGTACTCACTTTTCCCCTCAAACCACAGTGACACTACGCAGCTCGTTGCCAAAACAGCCCTGGGCAAAGAACAGGTTTTGTCTGTTGTCCAAAACACCTTCATTTTTTTTGGTCACTTTTTTTCTCCTTTGGTTAAAAATGACTTGCAGTGTGTCTTTGAAAACACTTCACACAGAATGCATGCGAACGTGCAGTTTCTCAATTTGAGATCCAGTCCTCATCTAAACCTGAACCATAATTTCAGATCAGTAAATTAATTGCAATAATTTGTAGGGATGGAACAATAAACAATAGTTTATTGTGATAAAAAAGGGTAGAGAACAATCATTGTAGGACATTTATATCATCATGATAGACATAATAGCCATTACATCACCAGAATGTGCAGGAAAAAAGCTACTTATCCATGATGTTTTCTTCTAGATCATTGTTATTTTCAGTTATAACAAAGTGCACTACTATAACAGTTTAAATAAAATGGAATGTATTCATAATATTAAAATTATTAATAACCTTAAGTTTTGAAAACAAGCAACTTGAATAATTATCGTGAGATATAACTGATAATCACAATTATTAGCCATGATTAGCCATTGTGACACCAAATTTCAATATCGTCCCATGCCTAATGCCTTTGTTGATCTGATAATTTGTCTGAATGTGATACCATTTTTAAATATCACCCTGGCCAAATTGCAGACACAGACTCTAAGCTCTCCAAATAGCTTGTTTTATTAGCCTAATTGTCAAGTTGGCTATTATGGTCCTAGGACAGGGGGTGCAAGCATGCTTGCACGCCCTCCTCCGCACTCAGACACATGGTTGAGATAAATCACCTGTTTTTATGGTGCAGCAGGAAGCATGCCTCTGTCTGACGCTGACTGCACTGAGTGACTCGTCAGCTGCCGCAGGGCGTCTTCAGTGGAGCCGCCACATCACATGGTGTTTGTGAGAGCTCAGCACAAGACCTTTCAACACAACAACTTTTACCATGTATAAGCTTGGGAAGCTTTAGTGGTTTTAATTTCTTTGTTGACTTAAAGGTGCACTACACAACATATTAATCTAGAATTTATTAATTAAGGGTGTTTCTATTGGTCAGAAATACAATGGTTCCTTCTGTGAATAGGGGCAACTCTCCACAGATTTGATTTGCTTAGTACTGTAACCTTCTTGTCTTCCTTGTGATCAATGGGTTTAATCTATACTGTGGAACATTCTAGGCAAAGCAAAAAATATTATCATAGAGACAAGCAGGGGGCGGACCCTCCCCTAGAAACAGAATGTAGTGCATCTTTAACACTGGTTGTTTTGACATTTTAACCTGGCTACAAAATCTGATATTTCTTTCAAGTGCTTGGATAAAATTGTAAATGGACTTGAGTAGAGCTGCACAAAGGCAGCAGTTATTTCTGCAATACAATGTCCCCTGTAAACAACAAAATAACCAGTTTAAACCTGTTCACACTGTAGTTTAAACCTCTACAAACATGTTCTGAAATGCTTGGGGTTCTTGTATTAGTTTGGCAGATCATCTTTGAGTCATCTATGTTAAATGTTAATTAGCTGTGACACCTTTGAATGTATACTCTGAATTAAATCCTTGTCTCAAAATATGAAACAAGTTTCAATACTAAACAGAAATATTGCAGTTATATATATATTTAATAATTTTGTAATCTTGGTCTCTTAATAGTTTGTGTTAACCTTCTTCTAAATTCAATTTGAAAAGTGTATTAGTGTGTTATAACAGTGAAACACACAATTTTAAGATAGAGCCTATTAAAAAGCAAGTATTATTGCTGTTAATTTTCATCTGCGTGGCTGAGAAGACAATTTGCCGCTGGAGGGCCTGAAGAAAACACTGTGAAATTAAGGCAATTTTGAACCAGTGCTGCAAACGTTGGATCTTGAACAAAATCCACTTTCCTCTGCTTGCACCGGTTTAAATCAAACGGTAAGATTTCATCAAAGGGCCCTGAGCAAAATGGCGGCAGAGCTACAGGCAAAAGTGTATAAATGGTGTCACACTCGGCGCAGAGGCCCCTCAGACGAAGCCCCCGACACCCACAGTGAGTCGGCCATTGTAAGGCAGAGCAGCGGTGAACAATATGTGATTGTTCCCCCGCTGGGCTGAGGAGCTGGAGGTTACCGCCTGTACCATCGCACGCGCCCAAAGACCAAGCTTGACTGGAAATGTGCCCATGCTAAACCAGTGCTGTTTGTGTCGGAAGGAGCGGGCGCGTACACTTCACATTTGGATTATTCTTTACAAACTCTCATTTCCATGCACTTTGTAATGTACATCAACGTTGGGCTGGTAACCGCTACAGTTGAAGTCTTGTAGGATTTTTGAAGCCAAGTTACTGCAGTATAAGCTGTGAGCATGTCATTTAAGTCCTTAAAGGAGTTTGGTGTTTCTGCTGAACGACTGGGTTCGATTTGTAAAAGATGGATGACTCGTGTCCAAAGGTCTGTGTGGGCTATAGTTTTCATAATGGCCTCTCTGTCTTCATTGAGAAAAGTAACCATTTTGTGCTTTCTAACATCATTTTCAGCAGCTTTTGCTACTTTACGTGTACTTTTAACCTGTCATATCATTCTGAGGTATGTATAGGAGGTCTGATTAGGTTAGCTGTTTTTTTTGTAAAGATTGCTTCCTCGCACAGTAAACATATGTAATCTCGATTTTATCAGAGGCAGTCAGGGTGTTGTAGTCGGATGCATAGGAGTGATATTGATCCTCTGTCCCTAAAGGCACGCCTGCAAGGAAATGGCAGTTAAGTTTATCATTCACCCCATTACCACAAAGCGTTCTGCAAATCTTCAACTTTTACACTCCCTGTACGTGTAACTGCCTTTTACTGCCTCTGTAGCTCTAATGTGAAATGATGATTCTGCAAAAGTCCCAGGTGCTTTAATTTGTTTTGTTGCCATTGGCTATTGTGACCAATTTAGCCAGTTCCAGAGTCCTTTGAATGGCTTTGGGGTTGTTTGGAGTAGTTTTTGATGTATTTTCTGTAACTTACGGAGAATTATCTTTGGTGCCATTATATGAGCTCTTTATTGCAATTAGACTAGCAGTTTATAAAGTTACATTTTGGCTGTATGGACTTTTAAACTCTTTTTTTTTACATTAACTCTGCTCTTTCTGCAGCCTTAATGTTTTATTACTATATTTTGCAGAAATATATATATTTTTTTTTTTTCAGTAACATGGCCATAGTACTATAGATCCCATAAATAGTTATGCTGTGACTTAATATCTGGATTTGAAATTTCATCTTTACACTTTTACTGTGTGACCATTACTATTGTAATAAATCTTGATCTTGCTCTGATCAAAGTGTTTTTTTTTTCTCTTTGGTGTATTCTTTTCTGGATTAAAAATATCCATTATGATGTCAGGTTGGCTATTACTGCTTTAACTTGTTGTATTGATTAAGTCAAGACCCATACAATCACATAAAGTCACATTAAGTTATATTATTGACCTCATTATTGACAAAACTGCTCTGCTCAAAACTGGAGGTGGGCAATATATCAAATTATTGTAGAAATCGATCAATTTTTGTTTTGTTTTTTTCCATTGCCAATAATGCTGTTTGGTTACAAATCAGAACAACAGACAGACTGACAATATATTTGTGCCAATACTTTATTCCTCCCCCATTTAACAAACTTATACACAACACTGGAGTAGTACCCTCAAAAGCTAAATGTCTTTCCTTTTTAGTGGTAAGGTGGTCAAGTTTGCCAACATATCTGCTTAAATGTTAGAGATTTAAGGCCAATAGCTATATGCTAGAAAGTGTAAATATGTATGAGGTCTTGATGTCTTACTGTTTTGATGATATAAATGATTTTGATTTTTTAAAATATTTTTTTTTATTCTTTTAAATAAAATGGAAAAACCTATGTCGTAATATTTCATTTAAGTTCTTCCTTTCAAATATTTTAGTACATTTCTGTGGCTTGAATTGAAAATTGAGCTATTTTCTATTGTCAATATAGCCCACTCCTCAACCTGTTTCTGTCTCCTTAACACCCCCCGATTTATTCATAATAGATGACTTATGAGATATTACAAAAAAGGTTTTGCAGTAAAGGTAAAGTTATAATTTCTTGTTTCTCTTTTTAGCAATGGCAACGGCAACAAGATGAACGGGTCACTGGAGCACCTGGATCAGCCAGATCCAGATTCAATCAAAATGTTTGTGGGGCAGATCCCACGCACCTGGTCAGAAACAGAGCTACGAGAGCTGTTCGAGCCCTTCGGACCTGTGCACCAAATCAACATCCTCCGAGACCGTACTCAGAACCCCCCACAGAGCAAAGGTACCAATGCAAATATGTTTTTAATCAAGTTGTGCTTCGCACTCACATTTTAGAGGCAGGCATCTGGACATGGTTTTAGGCATGAAGGCAATTCATCTTTTATTCATTATATTTCATTATACTTTTATTAGCCATTACTTGGAAAAATGTCAGAGGTTACTATTTTTAGATGTAGGATTATGATTGGAACAAAATGTTTTCTCGTTACTTTACATCTTTCTTGTGTGTAAGAAAAACAAATGACATGTAAATTTTTACATTGGATTTTTCCTATGTGGGATTCTCTCGACAAAGTCTTCCGGCAGACAGTGATTTGCATACATGGATTTTACATCTGATGCCCTCCCATGCTCATGACATGCTCTGGCTATTATTTCCTGCTTGTTAATAATGCAGGAAATAAATGGCTGCAGCACATTTGTTTTCATTGGTCACTTGTCCCAAACATGTGGTGGCGTCCCTTCACATTTCTGTGCTGTCCTCGGGCACAGCTCTGTGCTGCTTGTCTGTGCACGCACTGCAGTGTTGTTTTGCTTGCACAAGAGATGATTCACTTGCCTTTTGTTTCACATTTTCAACTGAAAAATGTATTTTTCTTGACTGAGATTTCAAAAGCTGCATTGTGTGAAGAAAATCAGAAAAGGTTGTCCATTAAGACATCCACTGACTGGCACATTTCGAAGCAGCTCTTGTCTGGAGCGTTTTAGTTTTAGTTTAGCAATTACAGCTGACTTAAAGTGGAGGCTGCGATCTGTAGAAGCTACCAAGTACCTCACTCAGTCTCCTGTAACTAACTGCAGGTGAATGAAGTCAATGTGCTGCACTGATGCAACTGTGTCTGAGCTGTTCTTCTGTCTCTCCCGCATTTCACTTTAAAGGCATAAGCCCCTTTAGGATGTAACATGCTGGGACACACTGCTAGAGCCCTTTTTTCTGCTGATTTGAAGTTTGAGCTCTTGGGGTTAGAGAGTGGGTTTAGAATTCATCTAGGGCTTTGCTTGACCATAACAGACATAAAATGTAAAGGCAATTTACCAGAAATTGCTACATAATGTACCTTTTTTGTGCAGAAATGGCTTTGGGGCTTCCCAGATCGAAAATAACAGTTGTTCTCTTTTTTTTCTAAATGACTCACTGCACCTTTGGGACACTAAATGAGTTATTAGGAACGTAATAAAATGTGGTACGTGCAGTTGTCCTCCTTGTGTTCAGCGGTGTATGATGAAGTCTCCTGGGTACTTCTTATGCAGTGTGTGTAAATACAGCACACAGACTGCAGTTCATGGTGTGGATGAGGAGTTCAAAGACCCCCTTTTTAGAAGGGCCCTCCTCTGTTCTGTCAGCTGTGATGGCCTATTGACATGTTAATGCAATGTTAATGTATTCTAATAGATAATCTAGCCTTATCACAGCGGCCTTTGGCTAACTCTGTGTGAGCTGGAGCCTCAGACCTATCAGTCTCACTACCGTGTTTCTCTCCATAGTGGAGTCATTGGAGAGAAGGCACTTTTATCATAGTAGAGCCAGTGACATTATCTCCAAATGTTTATATGCATAGGTGATACACGGTCGAGCTGCTATCGAGATTTTGTCAACTACTTCCATTTCAGGTTTTCTGCCACACATCTATTGAAGCTATTCCTCTATTTTTATTTTTTTTTTAAGTTTTGTCTTCTGCAGGTCATGAAAAAAAAAAATCATCTGATAAGTGTGACGCCTCCCTGGATGGTTTATTTAGCTCCAGTAATCGTAGGCAGGGCTAAGCGGCGCAGAGAGCTCAGCTGGTCAGAGAAGAGAGCAGCTCAATGCCCTCCCCTCGGCCTGAGCTCCAGTAACAGAAAAATACACAGTATGTAGGTCAGAGACGCTGCAGTGCTCCACTTCCACAGCCCAGTCAAACTGACAGGCTCCACGCCATGGGCGCTCTGCTGGGACGAGAGGATGAGGCTCTCCTCCCCCTCACTGTCTTTACCCCCTCCCCCACATCAGCTCACTCCTAACTCTGTCTCTGTGCCATTTTCATATTCAGTGGGTTCTGGTGTATTGCTGAGTGGTGGTCCTGTGGCTTGTCCAGACGTGGCTGACCTGTCTCCTGCCTCACTGCCTTTTGACAGCGACCTCACCCTGTGGACTTCTCTTTGGACATGTCAGCTCTGATTTACCCCAGTGCCCTCGCTGCAAGCTCATATATGAACTGTAGCACCATCTCATAGTTGCTGCTAAGAATATCCTGTCACATGTTGCTAACATGTGATATGCTAAGAACTGGCCTTCGTTTTAGCCGCATTCCTCACTGCAGCAGTGTCTGTGTAACATTTACTGTCTATCTGCGCAGTCTTTTAATACTGTTTTTGTCTCTCTCCCGCCCTTTTGTTTTTCTCTCTGCAGGATGCTGTTTTGTAACTTTTTATACAAGAAAAGCTGCACTGGATGCCCAGAATGCTTTGCACAACATAAAGACCTTAAGTGGGGTGAGTAAGCACAGAGTGGACTGTCTTTAGCAGCTTGAGCCCCTTTACGTCCCACTGCAGTCTCATAATTAGCTCCTGGCTGCTCATCACGTTTGGCCTAAGAAATGTCTGCCCCCACAATGTACTGCCATCCCACTAACAACCGAGAACATTCAAGAGATGATCAGACTCTCCAGCAGTACACACACCCCCAATTTACACAATGCACACACCCAATACACACAAAACAAAAGCTCTTCACACAGGATCCAACTGCCACAGGTGCAACACAGTGTTCGTCCAAGTAAAGCACTTTTACCCCCAACGTTAGTGGGGCAGGAGTTGCACCCGGTGTTTTAACAAAGAGGCCTCCGAATGACGCTGACTCTTAATCCCTGGTTTGATTTATTTAGAGATTAAAGCCCATTCAAGCGGGATGTGTGCAATTGCTTGTTAAACCTCCACCAGTCTACTCCGACTATTTTAAATTACTCTCCGTCCGATCAATTTAATCTTTACTAAACAACTCTAGCCATCAATGAAATCAATAGAGCTGTCCATTGGAGAAGGAGCTGCTGTCAGTGAGGTTACAGGTAAATATTGAACCGCTTTGATGAATGAGAGCAGCAGTGAGCACATACAGGCACAGCAGTAGGACTATCAATCAGCTTGACGTTTCAAATAAAGCATGTTCGAACACATGAGTCCTGAGACACACTGTTTGCCACTGTCCTCTTTTAACTTGTTGCTATGATATTTAAAGTAATCAGGGTCATTGTCCGTTTGAAGGGAGTAAATCAGGAGCTCTTTTCAAGTTGGTACAAATGGACTAAAGACAATTGGCACAACATGAGGGCGTGGCCTAAATTAAGCACAGGGCAAATTTTCACCCCTTGACCTAATTATAGCTGTGCACTGGTCAGTTTCTTGCCCTTAACAATGTCAAACACTCAATGTTATTTTGTGTTGCCTATTACGTTAGCACCACACTGAGAAAGACAAATGTTGAATATAGCTGTGCTCAAGTGATGCCTTTTTAACATATTGCATTCAATTAAATGCAGGATGTACATGTATTTGATAGCTAAAACTGTAAACCTAATCTAAAACCAGATTAGATGGTAAGAAAATAAAGCAATCTAGAAATAATCCTTAAATTTTTCATTTGTACACACATTTGTGTAAATTAGGAAGTAGAATGTGGTAGTCTAAATCTGTCAAATGTAAACCGTTAATTTACTTCACTGATGTAATGTAGGGCTGCGCAGTTAGTTGAATTTTTATTTGTGATTTCACTTATTATGCTGTTCAAATACACATATTTTGCAGTTGAAAATACAATATTAGATTCTCTTACGAATTACTTGTGCAGAGCAAAGACCCTTTTCTAATCTTCTTAAGCTTTAAAAATAAAGTTTTACAAAACATTAGAGATAAAATATATATTTGGTTTTTCCTTCTGTGTAGGTTAATTTTGACAGTATAAGTAGCTGGTTGTGGTTTCATTTGAATCATATCCGTATTTAAATTTTTGCCATAATCTAGTGCTTATATGTATGATTTTGTGTGCTGTGATGCTGTAGTAATAAATATGACTTGAATAGGGCAGCTCTATTACTATATAACTCTAAGTAAAAGTGACAAGTAAGTAAGACAAACATGTCCATAAATGAATAAACTGTGAAGCGTCCAAAGACTGGCTGGTTCCTCTGTTCTGTCCCTCGTGTGCCTTGCTCTTCTTGGTCGGCGACGCTGCCAGTTCCCACACTGAGCTGGCCATCTGTCTGCTTCTTTTTAGTGCTCGTCAAAAACAAACCCACCACTTTCATGAACACAGGCTGCTCAGGCATCTCACAGATAAATAGTACTTTCACCTCACAAAGCAGGTGATTATGCTAAAAATATTCCCACGTCCCGATTAGCTCGTCTATCTTTTCCCTCCAACTCGCGCGCTACATGGAGTTGTATTCAATTTCTTCCACATAGCTGTTGAAGAAGATTGATACTGGCAGCACAGTCGATCACAAGGCTACACCAGAGCTTAAAATGAAACTCGATACTGGAGAATTTGATCCAGACATAAATGCAGAGACACTTCCTCCTGAATCTGTTGGAGAGCTGTGATGATCTCAGAGTGAGAGTGGAAAATAAGAGGTTGGCGACGGAGCTCTGGGAAAGTGGACAGACCCTTGTGATAATAATAAAGCCCCCAGTGTGGTTATTATACAGCCAGGTGCAAAGCTAACTCTTTCTTTGTTTCTTTTGCCATAGATGCATCATCCTATTCAGATGAAACCCGCCGACAGTGAGAAAACAAGTGGTGAGTAGCTTTTGAAGAGGCCTGCTGACTTCAAACCGTTGATCTCAGCGCCTTAGTGACCTGCACAGAGAAAAGGATTTGACTAGGACAAGACGGCTACAAGGCAAAGCTCAAAACGTGTCTCTTTTGTAGAGCGAAAATGAAAGGCTGAAAAGGACAGTTCGTGGAAGGTGCAGCCTCGGACAGGTTCTATACAGTGTCAAGGGTTAGGGGGATTAAGGGCTTTAAAAGGCACCAAAGGGAGAAGTGGATAAGGAGCGTGGCAGAAATGGCTGATATACCCGTCTGTCTCGAGACGGAGACGCTGAGGGGGTGGGCGCGCCAAGAGAGTTGCCAAGACTTGTACAAGAGGCTGGCACCTTGAGTGTGAGGCAGAGAAAGTGGCTGTATGACGAGAACAGAGCAAGAATAAGAAAAAGGTGTCAGATTGAGCCCTCATACGAGCCCTTCTGTGTTCTGTGATGTTTAGTCGAATTGCTTTTCAGATCATCTATTTTTTACTTTTACTGCAGCAACACAACATTAAAGGAGTTAAAATTTAATTTTTAAAAAAAGTGCAGATATTACCAGTAACAGCTTTTCTCTAAATGTATAGTCCATGAACTTTTGCCCGCTTTCAGTTCAACCAACATGAAGCATTTAATGTTATCAGTGGTTTTCAGTGTTGCAGTAAATATACTGTGTGGTTATTGCTGTACTCTCAGATCTGCTTATTTTTATATCTCTAGATGTCTCTTTTCCTGTTGCAGCGGTAGAAGACAGAAAACTGTTCATTGGGATGGTCTCAAAGAAGTATGGCGAGAATGAGGTCCGAATGATGTTCTCCTCTTTCGGTTCAATCGAGGAGTGCCGAATCCTCCGGGGTCCCGACGGCCAGAGCAGAGGTAGGTGTGCTCTGAGTCTTCAGTATAGGTGCAGTGTTATTGGCCTCATGACTGCCACCTACAGGACAATCACTAGAAACACTCATCCAGTATTTATACCAGCCCCTCCCTTCCGGCTTTATTTTTTACCTACTTCTCCCCCAAATCAAGTGCTATTCACCCACAGTAGCACCCATCACAGTGCCCGCAGCCTCTCCCCATTTGCCGGTGCATCGTGCTGTGAAGGGCCGGTGAGAGCGGAGTCGACACAATGGGCCGTTGCCTAGGCAACAGCTGGCGGCGGTGCCTATGGGCTCAGCTGGCAGCCAGCTCCTCCTCCACCACCTCCTCCATCACACTCCACAAAGACTAGAATTAGCCTGTCGTCGCATCTCCCACTTAGCTCGGTGCCGCATAAAGGCCAAGAGCTGGCGGGTCGAAACAGGGCTCTCGGGCTGATTAGACCTTACACTGACGGCCATTGAATAGACCCCAATAATTACATTGAATTTAATATGTAATAGCAACTATAAGTTGAAATGGAGCAGAAGGTCTTTTTGTACATATTGACTGAAGATAGGCCTACAGTGTGTATTTATGTGTGCATTCTATGTGTTTAACTGTTTCACCACATAGACTAGCCTCTCTGGTGGCAATTTAAATTGTCGATCACTGTGCTCATGTGTTCTCCTCGTTTTGTTCTTTCTTCATGTGCTAACCAGTGAGGGTGATTCTGTGTGCTTGGGAGTCGCCATTCTCTGTACAATGTGTTATTTGGGGTTCATAACGAGTTGTCCAAACCTTTTGTCTTGTTTTTGTTTCTTCTTGTCCCTCCCTCCCTCCTCCCCCCTTCTCCTATTGTTCCCCCCTACAGGCTGTGCGTTTGTCACATTTGCTACCAGGGCAATGGCACAGAATGCAATCAAAACCATGCATCACTCTCAGACTATGGAGGTACTGTACCCCTGAGCACCTATTTCTCATTTTTACCCTTCCCCTTCATACATTCTGCTGCCCCCTTGTGTTGGGAAGATGAAAGGACTTGTCCAAGCAGATGGTGTCCATCATCACAAAGCATGAGTCATTTCCAAAGCCACTTTTACTTAAAATTACATTGTATCCTGCTAAAATGTATATAAACAGCTAAGAAGGACATGACGTCATTACTAATATAAGAGCAAACCAAACATCTCTTTTTTTCTTTTTTTTTTATTAAATTATTATCACTGTGTCCAGTAAGAAATTGTCATAGTCCACTACTTGAATTAAGGGTAAACTCTAGAGGTTAACCCAGAATTAGCCTAGAGACTAGCACACATCCAATGAGATTTTCTCTCAAACTGGGTCCTTGTCCTCATAAAGTCTTTCTGGAAGTGGAGCAGCAGTAATTTGACAGCGCGCAGGTCAGAGGCTCCCTAGTGAGGCATTGGACCAAAGCTAATTAAGATCCTACCAAACATAACTCGGGTTGTGGTTATAGTAGAACACAGCAGCCCCATTCTCCTGCATTATTACTCCCCCAGTTCTCATCTGCCGTGGAGTTGCTGCTGGTGCAGAAGCCATTTTCCCTGTCCAGCCTGGTCCCTGTCTGGCTCAACTCTGAAAATACTTGCACCGCATGCCTCATGTCCATACGTCTGTCTAAATGAATCTGTCTGTGAGACTGTCTGTATTGTAATGCATTGATCTAAATGTCTGCTGAGAAGCCCCTTGTTCAGTGTCTTTATTTTCTAAGTGTCGTCTCCATCAGTTGTCTGCTTGTCTGTGGACTTGATTAAGCTCCTCCCAAGTGCTAAAAAAGTTCACTGTCTGCAGCATTGATTTGTGCTCTTCATGGAATGAGGCCCGGCTCAGCTGTGCATGGCAGATGTCCTCTGTGTTAGCTCTATTACCAGTGCTACAGGCATAAACACTGTTTCAGGCTCAGACTATACTTCCCTTTAGAAGCGATCCCCTGCAATTAGTTAGTGCAATTAGGAAATATACTTGACATTTTAGTATGATGTTTTCTCTTCAAATAATGTATTGTGCTTCAGGGTTGCTCCTCACCTTTGGTGGTGAAGTTTGCTGACACACAGAGAGATAAGGAGCAGAGGCGCCTGCAGCAGCAGCTAGTACAGCAAATCCAGCAGCTCAATAGCGCCTCCTGGGGGAACTTGGCTGCACTGGGAGCTCTGACACCACAGTATCTGGCTGTAAGTCATTTATGTTCTGGGTGTGGATCCTTTTACAGACATAGGTGTTGCATATATAAACTAGATACGTGTCTCTTTCTCAATAGCTGCTGCAGCAGGCCACATCTACCAGTAACCAGAGCACTTTCAATGGCATTCAGAGGTTAGGAGGTGGGTTGCAATTACGTTTTTTTGTTGTTGTTTTTTGACCCATGGGATTACTATAACTATTTTTAAGTGCTCCTGTAGATGACAAAACAAATCCATCCATCAAATTTTTCTCTTATTTATTAAATTGGCTTCAGCAGTTAATAAATTATTAATGTGTTCGCCATCAGGTATGAATCCACTGCAGCTGCAGAACCTGGCCACATTAGCTGCAGCGGCGGCTGCTGCCCAAAGCTCTGGCAGCCCCACCTCCACCAGTGCCCTCTCCTCCAGCACCGGCGCCTTGGGAGCTTTGGGCAGCCCAGGTATTAACCATTAACATTTGTGGAGAATATCATCATCAGAAATACTAATGCATACTTTGTCCTCTGGGAAAGACCCATATGAGTTTGTATAAAACAACTGCCATAGGGGCAGATTCAAAGCTCTGACTGCTCTGCCTGCTCCTTTCAAATGATCTGTAAAACTCTCTCATCCTCCATTTGCCTAATGGCCCTCTGCCGCTGCCCATTTATTTTATAGGAGTTAATCAACCCTGAGCTAACATTTTATGAGAGTCTCAGTTTTCCCTTAATCTGTGTAAATATACATTGGCTCAATTTCTTATTGAGCATATTGCAGAAGCAGTTAATGAGCCCTTGTATAAGTGAGATATTTTACCCTCCTCCCTGCTCCTGAAACACTTTTTTCCTGATTAGACTGAAACTGGTCATAATTTGACAGCCATTCACTTCAAAATGTCCCTCTTTCTCTACAGCTGGTTCAACAACAGGGTCCAGCACCGGAGCGGCCATGAACCCTTTGGCCTCTCTGGGCACTCTGCAGGGTCTGACTGGGACCTCTGTGGGGCTCAACAACCTGAACGCTCTCACCAGCAGCGTCAGCAGTAAGATTTCTCACTTGTATAGTTTTCATTGTAACAGCAACTAGACTAATGCCCACCGGCTCTGCAGTGGCAAGTAGGCGGTGACCATGTCCTTGTGTGTGGCAGGTATGGGAGCCATGAACGGAGGACTGGGAGCCTCTATGGCCAATGGTTCGGCCGCCAGCTCCATGGACGCTCTGACTCAGGCGTACTCAGGGATGCAGCAGTACACCTCTGCCCTGCCCTCGCTCTATGGCCAGGCCCTGCTGCAGCAGAGTGTCGCAGGGAGCCAGAAAGAAGGTTAGGACTCACTTAGTGCATTCTTCTACCATATGTCTTAAATCATTGCATTACTGTGGATGTAACGTAAATCTGATGTGCTCTTGTGATGAAGTAGGGCCAGAAGGTGCCAACTTGTTTATTTACCACCTGCCCCAAGAGTTCGGGGATCAGGATCTTCTGCAGATGTTCATGCCTTTTGGAAACGTGGTCTCAGCCAAAGTCTTCATTGACAAACAGACCAATCTGAGCAAGTGCTTTGGTGAGATGCCTTCACATTTATGGATTAATCAGATTGCACTTTAACATAGTTGGAGTTACTTATGTAGTTTCACTCATCACTTCCTCTCAGGGTTCGTCAGCTATGACAATCCTGTGTCTGCACAAGCTGCCATCCAGGCCATGAACGGTTTTCAGATCGGGATGAAGAGGCTGAAGGTTCAGCTGAAACGTTCCAAGAACGACAGCAAACCGTACTGATCTAAGCCGGGCCCCCTCCCCAGCTCAAAGCTAGCACTGCGAGGGTAAGTTTACCTCCTGCCAAGGTCACCACAGAGACTCAATGGGGCAGGGGGCGGAGCCCGTCACAGGAGGGAGACTCGGCCTATTCCTTAAATGGTTGCAATTCTCTTTCCACATTTTTCTTGTATTCATCCCTGCAGTTTTATCATGTACTTTTAAGTCTATTTGAATATTTTATTGTATGCTTATTTATGACTATCACTGGAGTCAGTGTTCGCTGGAGGTATTTTGTGTCACTGTATTTAGTGGAGAGCATCATCTGTGTTCCCATACATTTCATTGCCTTCAGGTCAAGCGTAGATGGGTTGACTAAGGATCAGTCAAAGGGCTGAAGCGTAGACCGTGAGCCAGTGCTTCACCCTGTGTGGCTTCTTCCATGTAGTCTGTCTCATTGTCCATCGTCCTTAATGTGAATCTTTGCACTCAGCCCCTCCCTCCCAAACGTCCCCTGCCCCCTGTCTCTTCTGTCCTGTGTGTGAGGCTACCTCTCTATTAACCACTTCCAGTCATTCCATCCATCTGCAGGTCTCCACAGAGGGGACTGGCTCTCGATGGATCTCTTTGGGTGCCAAGTATAATCTAGTAAATGCATGTTGGAGCCATACTGTGTCCTGGTGTCGCATCTTAAACCTGTGTATCGTTTTGTGTGTAGAGGGGGGGTTTGTCTTTATTGTATGTGGTGATGTTTTGTTGTTTTTTGTGCCTCATGGCTAAAGATTCTTGTGCTGTGCCCCTAACTTTCTCTTCTCTCCTCTGTGTCTTCTCTCCTCCTGTCGTGTTCTTTTCTAGAACAACTCTCCATGCCTGTTTGCTCATCATTAGCCTAGCATGTCTCCATGATGTTGAAAGCCAAGCCAAACTCGTGGCCTCATCATCCCACCATTGTCTGTGATGTCTCTCTAAGCTCGCCTGACCAATACCTGGCCACCCACTGACCCCTGACCTTAGCTCAACCTGGTTTCTCTGCATGTGTGTTCATTTTTGTTTGTTCTATAAAGAAATGTGACTGGTGGGAGAGAGGTCAAGCAAATCAATGTGAAAACTATGTTCAATTCATTTAAAGTTTTGCTGTTTTTTTTTTTTTTGTTTTTTTTTTTTGCGAATGTTTTAAAAACCTGTGGGATTTATTTTTAATTTGCTTTGTTTTTTATGTTGCTTTCTTTTTACCTCTCTCAGTAAAAGTTCACTTGAAAGTTGAATACAGGGATTGGCACACAGCTGTGCTATTTGGTGCCATTAGCAATATGTTGGCTTCTTATACGAAAATGTGCTACAGACCACTTTCCAACACTTTTGAAAGTCCAGTTCAGTCTCAGTGCTCTGTAAAGGTCTCTACATTTTGCGGGCAGTGTAAAGGAAAAAAAAAAAACTTTCACCAAGGCTAATATATATTTTGATTTTATTTACAAAACTATCAGTGTGTTCTTTGAAAAATATTGATGGCACAATATAAGGTCCATTTCCTCTGTTTAGAGAAATGACGCCTACATGAGTCAACTTTTGTAGAACTGATTCACAAATAGACAATCTGTGGTTGAAATGCACACTTAGATTACCTATATTTTATACCATTGAATCTATAGAATTTAACTAACAGAACCCAGGCAAACGTTGGGTTTTTTGTAGATTATGTTGTAATTGTCATCTGTGTATGTGGGTTTGGGGAAAGTTCAGTGTATTACATTTTTTAAAAAGGACTAAAAATCAGTTGTGATCAGTTTGACCATTTAAGGGTCACTTTAAATTAAAAATCTCAGTTTAAGTCTAAAATGTTGCTGCATTAATTGTAACTTCAACTTTTGAGATGACAAACATTTTCTGTAGTTTTATTTTCCCTGTGTCAAAGACAAAAACCGTATGGTACGTTTTTATTTTTGTTGACTTTCTGTGAATTATTAATTTAATTAATGGATGTCACTTTTTAGTTTAGTCTTGGTTGCCTAATGTAGAAATATGTTTTACAATGTCTGTACTGTTGAAATGTACACATGTCAGACAATGTACTTTTGTTTTTATAAGTGCCCACGTGTCAGCCTCAGTGTTTTTGAAGTCACACAAACATGATTTTTCTTGTATGAGTAACATTTTCAAATCCGCTTGCATGCACACACCAACACACGCAGACACTTTATTGTGGTAAACCGTGGGAGCCCCTGAAGAAGAGATCGCTTGGACACACAACACTCGACCTGTGGGTTTCTGCACACTTCATTAGTAACACACACACACAGGCTTGGTTTAGATTCATTTTGGTTATGGCTTTTGTTCAGTGACTTCATGTTTCACAAATGCACACAGCACATTGACACTAAAACTTAACCCTTCACTGTAGTGTTGGTTTACAAAATACATTCCATTTGTTCAGCACAAGTTTACACTTTTTTTAAATATCGGGGTGATGTTGTAACCCTGGTTTAAAAAAAATAAAAAAGACAAAAAACACATCATCCCCCAAAGATGGGTTCCCTAAAAACTGCATACCCGATGGCGCTAAAGAGTTGTCAACTCAGGGGTTGCTTTGTGTGAAACTGGTTCACGCAGGGTTATGACACAAAATGCACAATTGTCACCATTTGACCTTTTCAGTTTGGATTTTATTTTCTTAACGTGCATAAATATTCCAAAAAATATTGAGGTACCAAAATTTGAACCAGTACTGGAGGTTTGTTTTTTGTAAGAAAAAGCACAATTGTGGGCTGTAATCACTTTTGCAGAATGTGTGTGACGCGTGATTATAACCCAAAATTTACAAAGGTACCACTAATTTCACTTTTTGAACGTGGGCATGTGCTTTTTACAGTGTGTTTTTCTATCCAAATGCAATACAATATTCAAAGTGCCATATTATATATACGTCTAGAAACTGCCTACTCTTAAATATTAGGCCTTGGTTAGAGATTGCTGCAATTCGCCTTTTTTGTCTATATCTGCCAGTGTCCTGAAAAAGCTTTGTCACTTGCTCATGTAACCCCCTTTCCCCTACCCCCACTCTGTGTTGAGTTGTTGGTAAAATGTGTATTGTGATGTACTATTTGAACAGTTGGTTTCAAAATTGCAGATAAACAATAAAACTATACGTTTCAAAGGTTAACCCTCTTTTTTAGTGTGAAACATGTAACACTTTTCGATACAACATGTGCAGTGAAATGTTCCATGGAAGTGTTGGGAGATTAATTTGTCAAACACTGAAAGGGTAAATTGTGTGGTTAAGTGTTACTGTGAATATTTAAAAGCACAATGTACAGTCCAAAGTGGTCCCAATTTTTGACTTGCTTCAGGGGCTTCCATCACAAAATCCAAGTTAACAATCACGTTTTTGTTTATTTTCAACAAGTGCTAATTTTTGGCCGTGTGGTAGATTTGCATCACTAGATATTGTCTTGATCCTTGTCTTATAATCCGTAGAAATATGTTTAATAAGTTAAAATAGATGTTTTTGTCTTGTCTGATAAAAGCCAAAGTGGGTGCATCTTGATGTGATCTGTATACACAAAAGTAGTTTTGTTATTTTTTTTTCTTTTAAAAAATGGGTGGGATTTGAAAAAATGAATAAGACATAACAGGCTTTCAATTTCTACAACTGGTTGTTCATATGTATTTTGTACCAGTGGAGCTTTTTATATTGGAAATTAAAGAAAACAAAATCTATATACAGAGAAAAATTGTCTGGCCTCTCAATGTGGCCTCGTCTCAGCCGGGTCAGGCCTCTTTGGTAGTGTCACACAATTTTCTTGGCATAATTTTTTTTCCTGTCTCTAAAGATGCCTGATTTATAATTTTACTACATGTCTCATTTAAAGTTTATTGGGGGGGTTGGGATCTTCTAAATCGTGGTAAGTTTCATGTTAGTACCTGTGCTGTCCACATAGTTTTATGGTCATCAAAAAGTTTGAGAAGTTATGTGGGTAATTGTCTTAGTTTAAAGGAGTCAACTGTTTAGTTTGAGCCTTGCTTTTTACCTGTGTAGTTTTCTGTTTCCCATAGAGGAGTGTGTAGCCCAAGGACTGTGTTAATTTTGGTCAATGTTTGTTCATGTGTGGTGTGTTTCTTTACCTCTGTCTGAATTAAACCATTTCCCTGAATATTGACTGTGTCTGTGCTGTGCTTGTCCAGTGCTGTAAAGACATTTGCGTCTCCCTTTGTCTGTGGCTCATGTCTCGCTAACATTTTTCTGTTGTGCCTCTGCTTCTGCTACATATGAAAGGTACACAGTCCTTTACCTCCTTAACTATAGCATAGACCTGATTTTGCTCAGCTCTGTTTGCATTATAGATTAGTTTAAAAAAAAAAAAAAATCATTCAGTGGTACTTAAAGTGAAACGTGTTGTCTTTATATAAATTGTCAGTGAGCACTTATGGTTTAGCCCTGGGAAGTTTATCATGGATTTACAAACTATGGCATTTATAATGCTCTGCTTCAGGTTTCAGTTCACCTAAATCTAATCTTAGAAATACATGAAAAACGTAAACAGATTGCCATGTTGCAGTCTTCGCAAACTAGCCTATTTTACCAAGTTACAGGTCAGATCTGTGGAGAAGGGTGCCCCCTCAGAGCAAATGCATGCTTTCCAGGGTATTTCTAAACAATAAAAGCAGCTCCAATTGAATCAATGCAAGAAATAAATGGCTTTAAAGTAGCCTTGACTCCAAAGGACAGCCAGCTCTAGATTCAAATACAGAAATTGAAAACCTATTCATCTGGTCTAATTTTGAATTTAAAAGTAACATTGGATCTTTAATTGCAAGCACTTTAGCACTAGTCAAAAAGCCTACAGGAGTATCTTTCCAACAGATCAAGTCAACTATTTCTTGCAGCTGAAACAAAACAAAAAGATTTCAAACTCAAAGCTTTAAAGAGCGTAGATAACTTATCCTGAATCAAATGCAAACTTTAGATTTGAAATTGCATTTGATTTATCGACTGGAAACATGAACTTTAAGAAGATGATGAAGATAAAAATGTTCATTCCTTAAAAATGTATAAATGTGCGGAGGGTGTTTGAACACATCACGTGCACTTGTTGCTCAGTTGAAATGGGAAACCTGAGCGCTGCACCGACTGGCCAACAACCTCGTCCTAAAAAAGCAAAAAAAAAAAAAAAAAAAAACTATCAAAAATTATCAAACAATTTTCTAGCTTTTTCTTTAACATGAGTTTCAATCATCCATGTTAACAAAATAAATGATCTACATCTTAAAGGTAAAAAGTAATAGCATTTGTACAAGCCAATCGGATTGCGCAGCGGCGTCTCCTCCCACATCGTGCGTCCCTGTCTCGGCGCAGTATGGCCGCTTAGTTGCAGCCATCGTGCGATCGCTCTCAACTGTATTATTTATTTTACATTTTAATCATGTCTGCCTTGTTGATTCTCAACAAATCCTTGTGCCGACTCCCTCCGACTGTAGCCCGGCAGGTCCTGGGCTGCTGTTACCACACTGAACGAGGAGTTTACGGGTACCGACCCAAACACACCGACAGGGACCTCAAGTTGTGCACGGAGTGGACTGCAGCACTAAACCAAGGTCAGTACGGGGCATAGGATCCACAAAATCAACTAGTCAAGTGTTTCAGTCTTGTGTGGGTCGCGTACGAGTGGAATTGCATAGTTGTATTGTCAGATAACTGCTCCTTATTGTTTTTCCACAACATCTGAATCTACTAATTACAGAAATACATTGCTCAAGGAAACTAACTGCTTTGAAAAGTAACCCATTTGCTTAGTCATCAAGAGACCATTCCTTTATTATGCATAGATGTAATTATTCTGTGCACTGTGTCTGTAGACTTTATAATTTTGTGACAGCAGAAGAGCATGTAGATCTAAACTCATGGCTTTCTGGTTTAACCTACTACTAGAAGTTTGCAGGTCTGGTCATAAAGGTAATTATTAATTATATGTATCCATACTTACGCCTATACATGAGCTACAAAAAACAAAGTCACACAAATTCAAAGATTCTTTAAAATACACATGGTGGGCATTGGACTGTAAGCTTGACATCACTATGTTAGATCATTTACTCTGCAATGACCAAGAACTAACTTCATAAAAGGAGAGACAAAACAACACTCAAAAGGTGTCACAATAAACTTTCACTTTTTAAATTATTATTATTATTCATCACTGTATAATTACCTTCCATTATAATTTTATATAGTCAGGGTTAGGGTAGGTAGTTATAGGTACAGGTGTAGTACAGTCTTGGCAAACAAAGTATAGCATAGTATGGAAATAAATTGAACATTTAATAAATAAATTTAAATAATTTAAATCCTGTGTTGATTTTCTGTACCCAGATCATGGCGTGGCTCGTCTGGTAGAGGCATACAGAGCTCATGGGCACAAAGCAGCTAAAATTAATCCCTTACTCCCCGAAAAACCTGTAATGGACGATGTCCCAGAGATCAACACCCTGGCTGGAACCATTACAGGCAAACTCAACACCTCGGGTATGGTATAAGAAAGAAATAATGTGGTAATGAAGGCAACCTCACTTGTCATACAAAACAGTGTTTATAATAAAATAAAAAATAAAATAATATTCCCTCATCAGAAGAGACTACAAAGTGATCCGTAAATATGTTTTATTTTGTGTAATTCAACTATTCTGGATAAATATAGTCTCTTTCTCATTTCACAACTTATTACTTTACAACGCTTCAGGTAACACATTGTAATTATAGTATACAAGTTTGTTTTACTGAGTACAACCTCAACAGTACAAGACACACCCAGATGTGCCTGAACATGTTGACAATTGAAAACAAAACTCATGTCACATTTGAATGCTCAAATATTTACAGATATTGTCATGAATGGTAATTTAATTAATATGATTAATTAAAATAATTTTAAAATATTAATTAAATTTAATTAAAATATGTATTAATTAATTGTGAAGAAATGCAAAAATTATTATTATGGGGGTGACCGTAGCTCAGAGCATTTGTTCACTGATCCAAAGGTAAGAGTGGTCAGATCCACCGGACGCACAATTTGGCTTTGCGATTCCAGTGATTTGGTTATTTTTTGGCTCTATGATAAGCCATAAAATGTTGAATTAATAACTTCTATGACTCATTACAGATGCAAACTAACTAACTAAAGTGTTTCATTCTGCTATTTATTTGTTGGAGCTCATGTTTTTTTAAACAATATTTTAGATATAGAATAGTTTTTGTGGTTTAAAATCCAAGAGCAGATCCTCCAAGTGTTGATGCTCTTGGATTTTTGTGTCAGTGGCATAAATCAGTTTCAGTATTATTGTTTATAGTCTATATTTACTTCAGCAGTCTATTGAACTTCAAAATTAATTACCTGTGAATAATATGTACTAGAGATTATTGTTGTGCCTTTGTGCTTGGGTAGGTTTGAGGCATTTTGGCAAATCTGAAGCATCAGTAGAAGAAGTTCAGTCGTATTTGGAGAAGATGTACTGTGGTCATCTGTCAGTGGAGATCAGTCAGCTCAGCAGTCTCAAGGAGAGAGTGTGGTTTGCCGATCGCTTTGAGGAACTAAAAAACCAAAGCTTCAACGCTGAGGAGAAAAAACGTCTGGCCAAAATCATGCTGGAGTCACAGGCAAGTCTGAACGAAACGTGATAATATTTATTATTATATAGGAGGGGTCATTGTCCAACTTTTCCCACCTTGCATCTCATACGAATATATAAATTAGTTCTATGTTCCATTAAAGGCCCCATATTACACTATTTTCTAATCTGTATTACCATATTTTCCAGGCTATTAGGCGCGCTCTTAAGCCTCTAACCCTATCAAAAAACAACCGCACTCCCCACAATTCAAAGCGCCCTATACACAAATCCACTTGTGTCCTAGCACGACTTCAGTAAACTACAAAGCCGCACCACCTGCAGCGCACGCAAACACACACGGAGCAGACAGCGACCGCGCAGCGAAACACACCCGCAGCCACACTCATCATTCCACGCGAACGAGGAACGGAACGGAGGAACGAACCAAAAAAGCGAGTGCAATGTGCCACTCTGAGCTACAACTGAACTGAGTCACTGCAAACACGCCAACAATCCAGACAGCACCCTCCCTACACGCCACAATTGAACAAAGCCCAGAGGCACCGTGAACACGACAAAGTCCCACTGACCCACTGTTTTGTTTCGTTTAAAGTCCGGAGCGGTTTATTTGTGAAAAAAGTTTGAAAATAGACCATTTAATGACAGTGCGTCTTATAATCCAGAGCGCCTAATAGCCCGGAAAATACGGTATGTTTCCTCATCAAAAACATACCCTTAGTTGTGTTTTGTTTCATTCACACATGTTTATCATACAAACTCTGAATATTTGACTTATGACTTGACTTCGCTCCACAGAAAACACTCTGTTCCACCTTGTGATGTCATGTGGTAATGCAGGAAGTGCTCCACTGTGTTTTTAAACTCCATAACCCTTCACTAGAAACATGTGTATAATTTCCGCCTGGAATTTTCAAGCTCTACTGCGTCATGACATCACAAGGTGCAACAGAGCATTTTGAGCCCTGAAGGTGTAGACAGAGACACAGATATATTTTACGTAATTTTTTTACTAAATATTTGTAAACAGTTCATACAATTAACTTTTTTGAATATTTTTTAAAACAACAATTCTCTCTTAGATCTTAGTTTTAAATGTCAAAATATCAACCATATCAATCCGTATTCCTGTTGGAAAGTGCAATTAACCTGGCACCATACGCATCCTTGTATCAATATGTAGGAGTTTGACCACTTCCTGGCCACCAAATTTGCAACAGTGAAGCGATACGGAGGAGAGGGAGCAGAGAGCATGATGGGATTTTTCTACGAGCTCTTCTACCAGGCGAACCACAGTGGGGTGACGGACATTGTGATCGGGATGCCTCACCGCGGACGACTGAACCTCCTGACAGGCCTGCTCCAGTTCCCCCCTGAGGTCAGACAACACCCTAGAGCCATAGACAAGTGGTGTTTTCAAATGCTGGCCATGGTCCAAATAGCCTAAATATGCTGTATATAAAGTCATATAAAAATGTGAGCATTTACCATTTCATTTTACATCCAATTACATTTGATGTTTTAGATGTGCAAAATTGTGATTGGTTGGTCATTCATAACATAAAGGAGTGTGTTCTTTTTTTTTTTTTTTTCTAATTCACCTTTATGGCAATTAATTTATATTAAAACTTTTATCTTAACATAACATTGCATTTTCTTCATGTTTAACCTTCAAACATTTGCATACACGTGTCAGCACATAAAACTATTGACAATATTATACACATTTATACATTCCCTCCTAAATAAACAGAAAACCTCATCAGTTGTCAGAGTGTAAACAAAATAACTAGTGGTCCGTTCTGTGTCTGTACCTCCAGCTCATGTTTCGCAAAATGCGAGGTCTCAGTGAGTTTCCCGACACGTCTCCAGCCATCGGTGATGTGCTTTCTCACCTCACCTCGTCCATTGAACTGGATTTTGGAGCTGAACGTCGGATTCATGTGACCATGCTGCCGAACCCATCCCATTTAGAGGCCATTAATCCAGTGGCTCAGGGTAAGACCAGAGCGAGGCAGCAGCTGAGGCAAGAGGGGGACTACTCTCCAGATGAAAACGCTCAGCCAGGAGACCAAGTCATCTGTCTGCAGGTATGGGGAGAGGGTTTTTAAAGGAGACATTGTGTAAAATTAACCACGCTATAATGATCTAATGATTCACTTACCCCAAGTTTTATTAAGATTTATTCATGCATGTTAAATCCAACATTATCCTATATTTGAGGCTTGAGTGCTCAGATAATTTCTATTTTTGCCTACCCCCTATCTCCTCCCACATCTCTCTACATACAGTTTCTATTTTTAAGATGTTTTCTTCAGAAACAATAACATTGAGCCATAAAAAGTAACATTGCATTCACTGTCAACATCAGACATAGACCCTCCTACTTTCTTTTTAAAGCACTCACCTCTGGTTATTTTTGTCCAGTCCTTTTGATGGAACAAATATTAAAACAGCTACGTGCTCCTTATTTCTGTTCCTTGTGTCTGGACATCACTCTTACATAAACATGTCAGATTCAAAATTCAAGATTTGTATTGTCATTGTCATAGAAAACAACCAAATAACATTTAGAGCATCAAACACTGCATAATTTTGTTATGTAAAGTGCAATAAATAATCCCGGTGTAAACATTAGCACAATACTAACATTCTGTACAGCACACATGTAATAAATAGTCTTACCAACAGCATAAATATTCAATTATGTGAAGTTTAATGTCATTATGCTACAATGCAAAGTCCAGTTTCATGTTATTGTTTTGGTGGGTGTGGTTATTGTCCATGGGAGTGGGGCAGAGAGGGGCGGGGGGATACATGCTATTGATCAGTCTGGGTGTTCTGGCCTGAATGGACCTGGTACTAATTTCTGAAAGGGTCATCCTAATGATTTTCCCTGCTGTTTTTACCCCCTGCTGGATTACCCGCTGGTGGGCCTTAGTGCAGCTGCAGAACCACGCTAAAAAAACACTACTGATGGCCAGTGTTGGGGAGTAACGAATTACATGTACCGCCGTTATGTAATCAGAGTACAAATTATGAGTAACTGTATTCCGTTACAGTTACTGTTTCAATGAGTGGTAATTGGATTACAGTTACTTTGCTGAAATAAGTGGATTACAAGGCGGTATTTTCCTGTTTTCACATTTTGTGCTACATCCCATTTATTTATTTTTTTATTTTGGTAATTTCACTCATTGCTGGAAACCCAAACAGAACGCGCGCAATAAGAGCGATAGAAACGTCATGTTAAAGTTGGTGGTGTTAGTCACACAATGGAAGCAGCAGTGCATTGGTAAAAACGCATTTGTGTCTTGGAAATTTTTCTCCCGATGTGAGATATATATATATAAAAAAGCTAATATAAAATCGCCTACAACTTAAATGTGAAACCGGAGCTACTGGCACTGGTGAAAACAACCTGCATAGACTCATAATATCTGCACTACTGTCCTATAGTGACCTGCCACATGAGGGGACACGCACACAAACACACACAAACAAACACAAATACACACAAACACACACCAACACACACCTTCATCATCGTCATCAAACCTGACTACTACTTCCGTAGTTACTGCGCGGACACCGCCGTCTCGTGCGCCGCGTGTGGAACGTGTTTTCTCGCGTAAACCGCGCTTCCTCCTGTGCGCCTCTAAACCAGAACTAACACCAGGACTAAAACCAGAACTAACACCAGGACTAAAACCAGAACTAACACCAGGACTAAAACCAGGACTAACCCAGGACTAAACCAGGACTAAAGCAGGACTGAACCCGGTTTAAACTAGGACTAAACCACGACTAAACCAGAACTAAAGACCTGGTCTAGACCTGGTCTAAACCAGGTCTAAAATCAGGAGTAATCAGGTCTAAAAATCAGGACTAAACCAGGACTAAACCAGGACTAAACAACATGACACCTAACAGTAGGTTGATATAATTTAAGATGATCTCATATAAAAAATAATTTCTCTATCAATAATATGTTTTAATATTAAGGAAAGGCTTATCTTGTTATTGTCTTTTAACAGACAAAACCTCTTATATTAAGATATCGTGGTCTTTGTTTCTCTACAGCAAAAAGTTGCTTATTCATGGAGACTTGGGCTCAGACAATTTGAAGACAACAAACAAGAATTTTCAGGATGTGGTTGCTACATTCATGTCATTAAAAAAAAAAAAGACAATATCAAGTAATCCAAAGTAATCAGATTACATTACTCACTTTAAGTAATTTAATGGATTACGTTACAAACTACATTTTGGGGTGTGTAATCTGTAATCTGTAGGGGATTACATTTTAAAAGTAACCTTCCCAACACTGCTGATGGCACAGTTGTAGAAGTTTACCATCAGTGGTCTGGGGATGTTGGTGCTCAGTTTCTTCAAGTAGTAGAGGTTGGATCTTCCTCACAGCTGACTCTGAGCCAGTGTGAATGCCCCAGGACAGATCCTCTCTCATAGAGAGAGGGTGGAGGTTGTTTTGTTTTTGAGAAAGTCCACAATAATCTAATTGGTCCAGATTATTGTTGTGACAGCATGATGCCAGATGTTACACCTTCTTCCTGTAGTCCATCTCATTGTCATTGGATGCAAAAATGAGAGCAGTTGTAATAGCTCTGGACTGCTGCGTCTGTGCATACCTCCATCTTGGATTGTAATGTCAATGTAAATGTAAATACCTGACTTCACACACTTTCAGTCTTCGATTTATAATATTTTGCTGAATTTTTCTGTGGCATACCTTTATGTAAAGTCAGCCATTTTTGCAGCACACTATATGGAAATATGGCAAGTGTATGAGAGTTATGCAGTGACTGGCTTCTTCTAGCTTCTCTTCTCATTGCCGCATATTTCCTACATCTTGCATCATGGTCTGTGAAGTGGTCCCCTCTTATCCCTCAAAGAGAGAGAGTAACTTATAAAAGGGGCCGAGCAGGATCATGGTGAGAAAAAGTCCCACTTAAACTTAAAGGCAAATATAGGCACTTTCAAGTTGTTTTAGCACAACAGTAAATTTAAGCATATAGATCATTCAGTTTACATGTTCAGCTGTAAGATCAAAACAGTGGTATAATACATGTGCATATAGTGTCTTATGTGCACAGTATGTATTTGCATTGGGTTAATTGTTCATTATTGCAAAAAAGTAATCCTGTTTGGAAAATGAATGTATTTTATTTTATTTTTTGACTAGTGATTCTCAAACTTCACCTAAAGTACCGTCTTTACTTTGAAAGATTTGTCCTATTGTCTTTCAGAAAAGAAGACAGAAAAATTACCAAGGCTAAACCATTATAAATTAGAAGAAGAAACAAAAAGAGACTTGATAAAATTATATTCGTGAAGGACATCATTTGAAAATTATAAAATGTACCATTAATTTCAATTCATTTTAGCCCTGACTTGCAAAGCGCTTTAGAAAATGGGGCGGGTGGAGGCTGTTTTTAAAGTTATGCTGCTGATAACCTGGACCTGGAGTACAGTGTCTCATTTCTCTGTATTTTTTATACTGAAATGACAAATTCTGATTCTGATTTGACCAAAGCTTTAACATTTGCTTGTCAAAAATATTAATATTATATGAATACAATTTCTTTCTAGAATAAAAATTAGGACCAAATCATGGCCTTACATTGATTCCAAGAATCTAAAAAAAAGAATAAATATAATAATATTTAGTCTTTAATAACATATAATAATAATATTGTAACAACGAAACCAGCACAAATATAGGTTTAGGTTTTTCAAAAGGAAAACAAAGGAATTTTTTTACTTGAAAGGCAATATGAAATCCACAGTGATTCAAACTATTTAAACAAACCTGGTCCTGGTCTAAATGAAACAGTATTTTCTTCAACAGGTCCATGGGGATGGCTCATTCACGGGGCAGGGCATCGTTCCTGAGACTCTGACCCTCTCAAACCTGCCCCACTACAGGGTAGGGGGCAGTATCCACCTCATTGTCAACAACCAAGTGGGTTACACCACTCCATCAGAAAGGGGCAGGTCCTCGCTCTACTGCAGTGATGTTGGTAAGAAAAAATATAAACAGAATTTAAGCTGTGTTAAATGTTAGTATTATGAAGTATTATTACTCACTTAGACGTCATCATAAATAACCTAATCAAGAAGAATTAAGTAACTGTGGTTTTGTTTTTGTTTCATTCACACATGTAACGCTGCATTATTAGGGTGTCTAGAGCTCCCAGGCTCAAAATGCTTTGTTCCACCTTGTGATGTCATGTAGTGATCGTTTCAAGTTAACAGCTACCTTTTACTTTTAGTTCAGTAGAGATAGACATTTCCAGGCCTGAAATCATCCAAATGATTTTAGTGAAACTGTATGGAGTTTAAAAACACAGTGGAGCACTTGTATTGTATTACCACATGACATCACAAGGTGGAACAAAGTGTTAAAATACAGGATTTGTGTCTTAAACATGTGTGAATGAAACAAAACAAAATTCTACATATGCTATTGGTGAGGACACAACATAATTTTAAAAAAATGCTCAAAAATGGCTTAATATAGGCCCTTTAAAAATAACATTTAATTGTAAAAGAAAGATTTCTCTCTCTCATATTTTTTTACATTTCTATTTTGTACTTGCTAGTGAGAAACCTTTCATTTTAGCCTGGGTATTTTTTAGTATTTCTAATATTTCTTATATTATCTAACATTTGCACTCATGTTTTCAGGTAAAATGGTGAACTGTGCTGTGATCCATGTGAACGGCGATGATGCTGAAGAGGTGCTGCGGGCCACTCGTTTGGCTGTGGAGTATCAAAGGACATTTCGGAAAGACATCATTTTGGACCTCATCTGTTACCGTCAGTGGGGCCATAATGAGCTGGATGAGCCTTTCTTCACAAACCCGGCTATGTACAAGATTATCCGGTATGGATAATCTTGTAAATGTAATTATGTAATGTTGACACTAGCAGTCAAAAGACGCACCCTCTCTTTCAGTCAAATTTTTGTATTTATGTTTACTTCTTTCTATATTTTAGATACATACTGAAGACATCACATACATGAACCAAGATATATGGAATTATGTAGCAAAGGAAAAAACAAATTATAACTCAACGAAATATTTTTATACTTTATATTCAAATTCCTCTAAAGTATTCACCCTTTGCTTTTTCGACATTGCTGCAAACCCTTGGCCTTCTCTTAATGATCTTCTTGATGAAGTCTCCTGAAATGGTTTACTTAACATTTCTGATGTCAGGATCAAAAAATGCCAAAGTGCAAAATAGGGTGCAAACAAAGGGTGGTTATTTAAAAAAATCTAAAATATGAAACAAGTTTTGACTTATTTTTAGTTTATTTCTTGTTTGTTACATTCCACATGTGTTCATTCATAGTTTTTGATGCCTTCAGTGAGAATCTAGAATGTAAACTAGAAAAGCACTCAGAGAGCGCAGACCTCCACCAAGGACTACCCCCATTTTTTATATAAATTGCGATAAAATCAGTCTTCTGGATCAGATCCGGATCAGCCTTTGGAATATGAAAGAGGATCCCATTGTCCATCCCTGAGTCAAATTTCATGGGGTTTGGTCAATAATTAACCGAGATATTGAGAAACAACATTTTTGGCCCCATTTACCACAATGTTAACTAAAATTTCAAAGTGATCCAGAATCCAGGATTTCTTCCGGATCACCCCCAAAATGAAATCACTTCTTCCTTTTCACATTTCCAACAAATCCTGAAAATTTCATCAAAATCGGTCCATAGCTTTTTGAGTGATGTTGCTAACAGACAAACAAACAAACAAACAAACAAACAGACAAACGCCGGCAAAAACATAACCTCCTTGGCGGAGGTAATAATCATGGGAAAAAGGATGAAACATAAATGGAAAAAGTGTGTCCAAAGTTTTGGCTGGTAGTGTAGATGGTGATTGCACAGAAAATATGACTAAATGAAAAATAATGACAGGTGATTCATAGTTTGACATTTGTAATTTCAGTGTATTTCTATTTGCTTGCCTGGACATATTTTAATAACAGTCACAATATATATCAGCGATTGTTTTCTTTCAAATTGCCCTGGTAGAATCAACATGAATTTTTTTTGCAGTTCTCGTAAGAGTGTCCCTGACTCCTACTCGGATCAGCTCATTGCGGATGGTTTGATGACTGAAGAGGAGCGCGATGGCATCAAATCCAAACACTACGGCATGCTCAATGAAAAACTGTCCAACATGACTTTGTACAGCCCCCCGCCCACCAACCTGCAGGGCCGCTGGGGGGGCCTGGTCGAACCCCAGGCCAAAGTCTCCACATGGGACACTGGAGTGCCTATCCCCCTTTTGCAGTTTGTCGGAGCAAAGTCTGTGAACATCCCTGAAAATACTCAGCTCCACAGCCATCTAGGAAAAACTCATGTTCAGGTATTGATAAAGCATCTAATAGCAGTGTCTGTATTGTTAATAAATGTTATTATTTTTCCATTCACAATTGTAATGCATGCCAGTAACTAGTAGTGATGGGAAGAATACCTTGAAAATGTTTTTAGAATACCCGAATTAAAATGTATTATCTAACATATTCCCTTACATGGGCCTATCAGAGTACTGTAATCTGAATACTTAGAATATTTTACATTGAGTTGCATTAGTGTAAAAACATGACTTATAATTACCAACAACTATTATTTAGTTGCACTGATGTTATGCATTAATCTATGTCTAATTAGAGACAGAAAATCAGACATGTATCAATACAAGAGCTGTGTTTTGTATTTTTCTTATTACCCAAATATGCCCAAAATGATAACATACCAGCATGTATTTCATTTAATTTAGAAAAGAAACTGCATTCTGAATACTAATAAATTAAAGAGTAACTGTATCGGAATATAATTACTCAAAATTAGTATTCAGAATATATTTTCGGTACATGTATTCACTTAGTTCCCAACACTGGTAACTAGATGCACTAATCTCACTCTGTTATAGTTGTCCAAGGTTAAATCAATACAGTATTAACATTTTTGGCATGTCTGACATTTTTTTCTAATCACAGACATAGACGTGCGACAATGAACTTGCATTATTTTGACTTAATTTGTTCTTTTATCTAAGGCTCGCCTGCAAAAGTTGGAGGAAGGGACCAAACTCGACTGGTCTACAGCAGAAGCCCTGGCTTTTGGCTCTCTTCTCAGTCAAGGTTTGTGTTTGAATAAAAAGTAATATCATGCCAGAAATATTAAAATATGACCTTTCTGCCTCAAATTTGTCTCCAGGTTTTAATATCCGTATCAGTGGGCAGGATGTTGGACGAGGCACATTCAGTCAGAGACATGCGATGGTGGTGTGTCAGGAGACTAATGATACATACATACCATTAAACAACATAAGCCCTGAGCAAACTGGCTTCTTGGAGGTAATACCAAGATACAAATAAGTCCTACACCAGAAAATAGAACAAGACATTTTACTTCTCATATATTTAATCACAAGCCTTTCATGATAATTACTATATTGACTTATCCTTCAGTGTATGTTAAATGGAACAATCATTTTTGAGGGTCAATATTTATCATGGAGACTTTTTCTTTGTACTTAGTGGGGGAAGTTTTGTTGTTATTCTGTTAGACAATTGCGATTTGAGCTCTAGACTAGAGGGTTGAATAAATCACTTCTTTGACTCATTATAGATACAAACTAACTACTGAAGTGTTTCATTCTGCTGTTTATTTGTTGCAGTTTGTGTTTTTAACCATATTGTACATTTAGAATAGTTTTTAGGAAAACTATACTTTATTATTTATCCTTTATACTTTTTATTGTCTTAGTGGCATAAATTTGTTTTAATATTATCGTTTATCGTCTTTATTTTCTTCAGCATAATATCGTACTTCAAAATTTATTGTGACATGCCTAATTGAACTGTTATTACTGTTAATGTTTTAGGTTTGCAACAGTCCTTTGTCAGAAGAGGCGGTGCTTGGCTTTGAATATGGGATGAGTATTGCACAACCTAAACTTCTTCCCATTTGGGAGGCTCAGTTTGGAGACTTCTTCAATGGAGCACAAATCATCTTTGATACATTCATTTCTGGAGGTACATAAACTCACTGACTTAAAGGGCCAATATTACACTACTGTATTTTCTGGTCTCTGTTTTAATGTTTCTTTATAAAAAACATAACCAAAATTGTGTTTTGTTTCATTCACACATGTTTAACACACAAATCCTGCATATTTAAGCGTGTTCTTCTCTCAAACTAGAATCATTTGGATTGTTTCACCTCTAGAATTACTAATCTTTTCTAAACAAAAGGTAAAAGGTAGTGTTAACATGAAAATTACCACTTCATGACAGGTGGTATAAAGCATTTTGAGCTTTGGAGATGGAGACAGACTCATAATAAAGGGTTACTCAAATGTGTGAATGAAACAAAACACAACTCCAGGTATGTGTTTGAGGAGGTAACAACATTATAACCTGGCTTAAAGTTCACAAGTGTCACTTTTGTGTAACACAGGACATTTAAACTAAACGGTGTAAATAAAATGTCCACAGGTGAAGCCAAGTGGCTGTTGCAGTGTGGGATGGTGATTCTCTTGCCCCATGGTTATGATGGGGCAGGTCCTGAGCACTCATCCTGTCGAATGGAGCGCTTCTTACAGGTTTGTATTTATTTACACACTGCTAACCCTAAATGACGTTAATTTGACTGTCACTCAAAACACTACTGCAAAACAACAACAAAAGTCTCATCTCATCGACTCATCTCATTTTACTCAATATATGACGGATGGAACAATGTTTTTTGGGGGGGGGTCAGTATTTTTCATGGGGACTTTCTTTGCACTAGTGGGAACGTTTTGGCTATTTTCTGCAATATGATGAGATTTGAGCTGTCAAAAGTCACTTTATGAACTTCTGTATGACTCATTATAGACACAAACTGCTTACATAATTGTTGCATTTTGTTATTTCTTTATTGCAGTCCATATTTTTTTTAACAATATTGTACATTTAGAACATTTTTGTGTATAATTTTGCTTTATGGTTTGGTTTCAGTATTATTGTTTATCGTCTATATTTACTTCAGCAATATATCTCACTTCAGAATTAGCTATCATGACAGGCCTAGTGAAAAGAAACTGCATAAATTTCAAGTGGTTTCAAACTGTAGCACTTGCTTCCAATATTACCTGACCCCTGTATTCATAAATCCGTGTTTGTGTGTCAGATGTGTGACAGTAAACTGGATGGTGTTGATGGAGACACTGTCAACATGTCTGTAGTGAACCCCACCACTCCAGCGCAGTACTTCCACTTACTCCGAAGACAGATGATAAGAAACTTCAGAAAACCCCTCATTGTGGTTGGACCCAAGACTCTGCTTAGATTCTCTGTAAGTGCTAAAATTTTTAATTGCTAAATAAAGTAAATTAAATTAACTGATAATTAATTAATGATCTTTATTATTCAGGGGGCAGTGTCTAGTTTGAGTGAGATGGCACCAGGCACCTCATTCAAACCAGTACTTGGTGATACAGTGGTCTCAGCTGAAAGGTAATCAACTTTTTTGTTTCATTTTTGCCTTTATTTATCAGAAAGGAATTATCGATATCTGTGAAGCCAGTGAATAAGTAGTTGTCACAGTCAATGTTGAAAGGTCCCATTTTATGAAAAATTTACTCTTGTGAGCTTTAATCTTCATCAAAAACATACCTGGAATTGTATTTTGTTTCATTCACACATATCTGTCTACATCTCCAAAGGTCAGAAGGCTCTTTTCTACCTTGTGATGTCATGTGGTGGTAGTGTTCAAGTTAATGGCTACTTTTTTAGCTTTAGACAAGTAAAAATAGGCAATTCCAGGGCTTAAATTAGCCAAATGATTCTAGTGACGATATATGGAGTTTAAAAACACAGCGGAGCTCTACCTGTTTTACCACATGATATCACAACTTGGAACAGAGTATTTTCTGTTTGAGAGAAGAACTCCACCTAAATATGCAGGGTTCATGTGACTGAAACGAAACACAACCCCAGGTATGTTTCTGATGAGGAAACGACATATAGCAACACCACCAACAACAAAATATAACATAGATCGGAAAACAGCGTAATATGGGCCCTTTGTCTTACTTTATGGAGTCATTCATTTCTTAATATAGATCTACAATTTAACTTCTGAAGCTTTTGTTGTTGCCACAGTGTCCAGAGGGTGGTGCTGTGCTCAGGGAAGCATTACTACGCCTTACTGAAGCAGAGAGAGGCTTCAGCGGCTAACCAAAACACAGCTCTGATCAGACTGGAGGAACTGTGTCCATTTCCACTGGACGCTCTGCAGCAGGAGCTCACAAAATACCCCAATGCTAAAGGTATAACTGATGCCAAGATAATGTACAACAAGAAATTTTCTGCTTTCCAACAGGTAAATTTAAGTGTGTATGACAGATTTCTATAATTCTCTTATTTTGACTTGGTGGGATTGTAACTATAGTAAATATAAATTATAGTTTTACACCAACCAAGAACCAATTTGCGAAGAAAAGTTGAAAAATATGTTGAAAATTACAGGAAGTAGTATTGGTGACATCACACTAGGGGAATCATATCCAAAAGTTCGAGGCAATTTACACATAAGAAACACATTTTTTTTTTCTGTTACTTTAAACATGATTCAACAAAATGAAGGTATCTTATATTTGTATTTGTCAGATAATAATTTCTGTGTACATTTGCCATTAGCCATTAGTTTTGCTAAATTCGCTAGTGTGGAGTCACGTTTCCCATCCAGAAATTAAAATTTGAAACCTAAGAAATGGCTAAGTTGGTAAAACAAGTGTGAATATTTTTGTAAAATGAGTAGTCTAACCTGTCAAAGGCACTTTAACCATTTAGGCAGGAGTATGGAATACGACTGTAGCATTGTTTATAAGTCAAATTAGCAGTCAAAACACCGTGATTTGGTGTAAAGGGCCTAAAATATATATTTATATAAAGGGGTCTGTTTATATAAGTGAGTAGTGAGTAGCCTAGCTCTCTAAATATAACTTCATGGGTTGTTTGGACAGGTCTTAACTCTTGTTTTATAATTGTAGTCCTAAAAACCCCTTTCTCATGGCATAGTCAGTTTCTGGTCTTGAACAACATTGACGTATGCACGAGGTCTTTTCTGGTTCATTTTTTTTATCTCTATTAAACCGATTCAGATCAGCCACAAGGAATGTCTGAATACTTTTTGCAATGAGAGATTATTGAAAGCTAGTTTACTGACCCTGACAGCATCTCCATGGTTTTAGGCTTTCCGGTAATTGCACAGTAATGCAGATATGTACAGTAATAACTTGCGTCTAATGGTTTTTCAATTCAAAGCAAGAATATCATTGAAAAGAGCAACAAATCCTTTTAGGAATGCTGCTTTGAGAGAGCTGAACCTGACCATACCAAAGACAGTCCAATATTTTGTTGTCTTTTGTATAAATGTGAAGAGGTTTTGTGACATAATCCCCTCTTGTGTGACTCAAACCTGTCATGTTCTTACCTTGAGAAGTGTTGTGTTTCAGAGTTTGTTTGGAGTCAAGAAGAACCTGAAAATATGGGTCCCTGGTCGTTTGTAGGTCCTAGGTTTGAGAGACAACTGGCCTGTAAGGTAAAAACACTGTCAATAAATGCTGTATAGTCCTTTATACTAATATCAACCACCTTAATAGATATAGATTAAGAAGGTAAATCTAAATATTATAAATAACTACTAGTCATATAATAATAACTAGTCATTTAGGTACAGTCATTGTGCTACAGTTTAGTTTTCTTCAATAATAATAATTTAGATAAAATAATACTGGCACCTTTTTGCATTTGCAAAAATATTTTAAGTATCTGGTATTTTCGTGTGAAGAAAGAATTATTCCAACCTAGAATTCCCAACTTCAGGGAAATAATAAAATGGAAAAAAAAAAATAAGTCAGCTGGATGTGTTATGAGTCAGCCCGGAAAATAAGTGTCATTCCACTGCCGTTTTTTACAGTCTTTTTCCCCCTGTTGCTCTTATTTGTTTGTAAGGTATCTCTGAGTGTCCAAAAATGTGTCATATAAGTCTGATGTATTATTATCATTATTATTATTATGTACAAGTAAAAGTTTAAATAAGGCTAAGTTTAAGTCATTACTATAGATTTTAAGATAAGATAAGATAATCCTTTATTGTCTCCCATGGGAGAAATTTGTCTTGGGACAGAGGGTAACATGCTTTATCAAAAAACAGGACAACACAACACAAAGCAGCACATAAACAAACACCATAAAACAAAGTAAATATGAGGCCAAGTATGACCACGAGTGATGCACCAACAGGACCTTTAAATTATTCTTAACAGGCAAGCCCTTGCATTCTTCTATTCTATTAATTATTGCACATTCCCTAAGCCTATGTGCAGTTTTGATTTGCATTGTATTATTAGTAATACAAGCATTATTGAGGAATACTGTAGGTATAGTGTAAAATAATGTACTTTTTTCCTCTTTAGCTTCGTCTCGTGAGCCGTCCTGCGTTGCCTGCTCCCGCTGTGGGCATCGGGACCCTTCACCATCAACAACAAGAGGCCATCCTGAACGCCACCTTCTCCTGAGACCCAACCACCAAAGACACGCATTAACTCTACACTACAAACTCTATCTGCTGTTTAAACTCTCATCAACACTAGTAACTGTGAAGTAGGGAGGAACCTGGGACCTTTGTTTGTATATTTTTACAGACGCGCGGTTTAGCATTTATGAATTTATGAATGTGAACACAACCTATTAATCAGGTTTGTGAGCATTACAATCCTAAGACACTTAATAATAATGTTTACAATTGCAAATCTGTAGAATTTAAGCTTCATGTTGACTGCCAACCTGCAAAAGGATGATTTCCCATTAACCACTGTATTTTACTTACCTTGACATTGGGCTGCTGTTAGAAGTACCAGTCAAAAGTTTGAACACACCCTCTCTTTCAAAGTTTTAGTTTTCTTTAATTTTACTACCTTTACATCCTATATGCAAACGTAAGACATCAAGTATATGAAGTAACATATGGAATTATGGAGTAAAGAAAAAAGGATAAATAACTACTAAATAGTTTGGAAGGCAAAGCAAATGAGGATTGAGGATTTGAATATTACATTTACTTTTTTTTGGTAAATAATTCCATATATCTTACTTTATATATTTGATGTCTTCAGTATGTATATAAAATGTAGATGTAAAGTTGTAAAAACTAAGAAAAAACATGAGGGGACGTGTCAAAATTTTGACTGGTCGTTTATATCAGTTACTATTAGCATTGGCACAAAACAATATTGAATTTGTTTCTGAAAAAGCATTTTGAATTGTAACCTTTGTGATTGTGCGATATTTATCTAGACATTGTTTGTACTAACGTATTTAAATTGATGGTTTAATAGTGGATTAATTTTATGTTTACGTAGACTTAACTGGAAAAAATGAAAGGGCTAATGTAAATATACCAATCCAGAGCATTAAATTTCAATATTTTCTCATGAAGATACTTGATGTGGTGGTGTTGTATTTTGTTCAGCTAACACTGGGGAAGGCAGAGTCTTGAGGGTCGATAATCAAACTAAAAATAAGCTCTAAAACTTTCACAAGTGCCCATTACTCTGCAAAAGCAATCATACTCTGGATATCCAGCTGTGCCTGAGCTGAAAGTAGGCTAAAGAAACCAAAAAATCAATGTCGCTATTTTGTCTCTTTTAAACTAAAATAACAGAAGGTAAACAACACAGTATTTTATTTTTTAATTGGCACCAAGGTGCAAAATACCTTTCCATTAATATCCTGGGACTGGCCTTATACAAAGGAATCTATTCAACACGGAAATGTTAATTATATATCTCCATCTTAATTATCGCAATGACAATATTCAAACAATATTATGACAATTTATCAGAAATGCCCTCAAAACTTACCTGTTAATATGTTTGTTGAGACAGAAGTACATTTGAATTTACTTTAAAATGAAATACAAGTGTAGAAATATCACTTTATGCTATTCTTTTAAAACATAACACTGCTAATTTCTGTTATTATATATTTTTTGACATGTTTTAAATATTTTTTAATTTTCATTACTGACAATATTAATTTAGCATATTTCCAAAATATTTTTTAAAATATCTCCCACGTCTGTATGTGAGACGTTCTTCTCCAAATGAAAGAAGAAATATAATTTGTTGACACAACTTTTACAGCAGTTTCCTTCAGTTTGGATAATAGAAGCTCATTTGGGAGCGTGGTCACACCCACACTAAAAGGTCTGTCAGTGGTTTTATCGCTGTTCCCATCAGTGTAGCGTTATGTTGTTATGTCTGTGGGCAAGACACTATCTTGCCTCAATGTCTGCATACAGTGGTGCATAAATGTGGATGTTGATGTGTGTGTTTTATGTATGTGCCTTTGGCTGCTTTAAAAGAAGAAAAGAACCACACATTTTAAATATCTGTTATCTTAATGTTGAGTCTTGTGTAATGGCCTGTTGTGATTGTGGTCATTTAGCCACAAGCAAGAGTTCTGCGTATACACTGGAAATGTTAATGACTGGAGTATTTCCGCTGCAGTCAAATTGAGATTATCAAAGTGTATCTGGCTCATTATGTGTTCAGCAACTAGGCCAACAGTCTCAAGAATAATCTGAGAGTCAGGTTCATAAATGTGAAGGGTCATACTTTAATTTTCCATTGTCTAATCCTAAAAGAATAATTAAGCAATTCTTCGCCACGGTTCTTTTTAGAATCAAAATTGCTTTTTAAACTTTTGCAGTTTGTTTTTGAAAAGCAGTCAAAGGGGTGGCCTGGACCCTTCACGGGCCACGGACACACAACGCTACGGCCCAGCGGTGGTCCTTGTCTATTTGTACCCCCAAACAGAGTAAATGTTAGTATGTCAGTGGGGTAAATGTTAGTGTGTCAGTGGTGTGTGGAGAGGAGTTTCAGTGCGTCCCGTGCGTTTTGGCGCAGTGCTTCACTTGTGGCTCTGGATAAACGCTGTCAGTCGGATAGGCGTGCGCAGCAGCCTCCCACTTTCATCGCTATAACAACCACGGGGCGGTCTGCTCCGTGCGCCTCCATGGCACAGCTCCGCCGCAGCAGCAGCCTGGATGCAGCGACTGCCAGGTGTCATCCTCCGACCTCAGCTCACCGCGCACCGCCTGCCTCTGCTCACGGAGGAGGAGGGGGCTCCAGGGGAGAGCCTGCCCGTATTTCCCCGTCACAGTGAACTGAGCAGTGGGGAAGCTCACGCCGCTGAACCGCTACGTCAAAGAGATTAGTCAAATAACCTCTCGGACTGTCGGACATAGCTCCTCTCCTCGAGCCTGGATGTCAGTCTGTAGCGCACTGACAAGCGGATAGACACCACAGCACTTTTGTTTCTCTTTTGTTTTTTAAGGGAAGGGGCTGCCTGCCTGCCTGCCTGCTTGGGTGAGGTGAGGCAGCTGTAGTGTAGGGCTCCTCCGGCGTCTTCTTCTTTATCTCTTGCCTTTCCGCCCCCACCATCGTCGCGACGAAATGGCGAAAGAAAACGGCGAGTCCGGTGACGGTTCTTCATGGAAAAAGCACGTCGATGATATCAAGAAAATCTTTGACTTTAAGGAAGTCCTTGGCACGTGAGTATCAAGCTAAAGCAGCAGCCTCACGGCGACACCAAACTTTGCAGCAATTACCCTGCGTCCAGAGACCAGACACCACCTCAGCCACAGACACGATGCTCGGGCTGACAGCTGTTGAATGTAGACAGTGTAGATACTGAATGATAGCAGCAGCAGCACGGCCTTACGAGGCAAACACTGTCCGTTCTTTCCCACGTTTATCTCTTGGCTTGCTCTGGGAGAGGAATGCTTCTCCAGTCAAATTATTATGAGTGAAGTGAAGTCATTACAGGCTGCCTATGTCACTGTTCATTCAAAAATCACTGCAGCATGCTTTGTTGGCAATTACGCACAGACAGCTCTTTAAGCCTTAATGTAACAAAGAAAGCCACGCAAATGTACTGATTGTGTCGCAACATGGGCAGCCAAACTGAGTAGTAGTTTCAGTTCAGTTTTATCAGAGTAGGCCTGCAGTGATTCTCGTGTTTATTTTGGCTCCGTGTTAGTGCTGCTCGACTTGATAGCCCTTTTCCTGTGAATGAGTTATAGCCCCGAAGGAGGTCCCCAAACTGTTGATACGGGCTGGTCTAAGTCTGTGTGACAGTAACAAGTGGTCCACATATAATGCTAAAATCATTTAAACAGTGAGGGTTTCTTATAGCATGTTTTCATTGTTAGGATTTGGGAATTTAGACTTGGGCTCCTCATGGGAATTGCAGTATGTGTTCAGAAAACCATGTTGAGCCAAGCTGCCTGGAAACTGTGAACTAACAAATCCATGACGTGGTTGTTTTTAATGCACATCACATAGGCTGATAATACAAACACAATATGGACCGATTTTCACTGCCTTACACATCACAAGTAAGTATATTTTTTACTTTTTTTAAAATTCAAATTATTTGCCAACACTTGTGTCACCAGGGAGCAGTGAGGGACCACAGCTTTTTCTCCACATTAGTGGCTATTTACTGGTCAGGATGTTTAGAGAAACCACCCAAACATGTCTCCCATACTGTAGATGTTATATGTAAATATAAAGTCTGGACATTGTCATCCTTAGAATGGAGATTGGAGATGGAGGCTATGAGAAACTCTGGCAAACATGTAGTACCTGTTGGCTGTCTAGGATTTAAATCACGTTTATATCAACTTGCTCATTAAAGGCCTATATTAGGTAACACTGATGTATTCTAAGATTGCCATGAAATAGTAGTTCATAAATTATGCTAAAGTAACATGAAACTTTTTTCTTCTGAGTCACTAATTAAACCAGTATGTTTGACATTACCCATGATACTTATCACAATAATAAATCATCTATTTTAATGGGCCAGTTTCCCCCAACCTTGTGAAGCTATTTAAGCTTGCGTCTACCCTATATTTTAGCAGCAACGTGTAAAACCTTTTCGTAATAGGTAGCTATGTAATGCTATGTCAATATCAGTGCACAGTACATATGCATATTTTTGTAATAATAATGCATTAGTCTTATATAGCATTTTTAAACTTTAAGTTGCTTTACAATTTTCTGTCTTAGCCTATTTATTCAGCCCCATATGCTACAATGATAAGTTACTTTTCTATCCACAGCTGCCCTGAAATAGTCTGCACCATCTCTGACCAATCACTGTGGCCGCTGGTATTCCCAGCTCTCTCCCATCCAAACAGACAACAACTGAGCTCCTATTTTGCTTCCCACATCAAATGTGATCGGGCAATGATTAGGACATTTGGCCTATTACAAGCTTTTTTGATATTTGTTACTACTGTGCTAAATATACTAAAATATGCAAGTAAAAAAAAAAAAACATATCATCTGAATTGCCCTCCTTTACACATCTAGTAAACCTCTATGTATGGCAGTGAGAAATCTGTATCACAGGGTTATTATGCATTATTTATACCTATACATTGAGCCAGCAAGTATTTCTCACTGTTTCAGCTGAAGGTTGCTAATTAAAACACATGCCATAAGAAACCATGCCTCGCTCAGAAATTGCCTTTGCAGAATACTAAATAAAGCAATAAATTATAGAAGTACAACTGTGTGTGTGAAATTCGTGCCTTGCAAATCAATTTCATCAATTTGATAGAGAACTCTAAATCAGAGACCGTAGCATTATTCTTTTTCATTACAATTCAAGCTTAATATTCTCAGGAAAAAGGGAGCAGTAAAGTATCAAAAGTCTGATCAAATTCTGTATCTTGTTCATTCCAATCCAATCCAACTTTATTTGTATAGCACATTTTACCAACATAAAGTCTCCAAAGTGCTGCACAATAGACAATATAAATAAACACTGAATAAAATAAAGCAAAAAATAAATAATCAAGTCAACAAAAAACATGAAAAATAGTAAAATTAGCAATACATTTTTGTTTCTTTCAAGACTCTACTAAGAGTGTAGTTAGCTTTCAGTACAACCCTATGTTTTGTCTTTGTGATTCTTTTACATTTTGAGATGAATTATTCACGATGTGCAGTCAACACCTCAGCAGCTGTAGCTCCTATACCTGAAGGTGCATTGATTTCCCCAAGGCTCTCCTTAATGTGTGAAAAGCCTTTTAAATAACACCATGAGTCATTATCTTTATTTGCCGTTTGACAATGACCAGGTGGGAAGAGAAAATGCATCTCCGCCCACGGATAAACACACACATCTCCTTATAGAACTGATTTAGTTCACACAGGTCATGAATACAGTTTCATCATTAGACTATTTCTCACAATGAAGCACTTGAATATTATTTCTAATCAAGAAGGAAATGTCAGATGTGTCATTTGGGCAAACAGCTGTGTTTCTGATTCAGCATGATGGAAATTATTACTGTGGTTCTTCGCTTCTAATGTCTATTATTATTATTATTGTTATTATGACTAATATAGTGTGACATAATTTCTACTACTATGTTACAACTAGCAGCCACTACTACCAACAACCTACTCAACTTTTACTTTATATGGGCGATAAATTACATGATAAAAATCTGTATCTGCCAAGTTTGTGTAAAATGATTTGCCACAAAAATACTGTACTACTGGTAGCAATTTAACTGCACTAAAACAAAAACAGCTACTGACATAATTAGGAATTAGTAAATGACACGGTCCAGCTGAGTTTTGCCTCTAAATTTTTTAGTTTGTTTACGTACATTTCATGTTTTTTTTCCAGCCTTATAGCACTGCTTTTTTAAACTTCAGTTTCTCCAAGAGATCTACCACATGTTAGCTTTTACCATTTTTGTTTGCGCTAAATTTAAACACGTAGAAAAAACTCATGAGATAATTGCCATTTTCATCTTTCGAGATCTTGTTGCTCGAGATCTTGCCCCATCCTTACTGCGAAATGTTACTACCATTTTACAATCATAGCCGATCAGGCCTGCCAATATTTGGACTAATTTCCTGTAATAAAACCTATATTGTGTAGTCATGTTTTGTGTAGTCATCTTTTTGCACTGTTTTATGCATATTTAGGCACCAGGTCGGCCAAAAAAAAATCAGCTTTTTTTGAACATTTAAGGTTGATAGTCGATGTGCTAAAAACGATATATAGATCTATCTCCACCTCTTTGCAGACTGAATTCATATAGGCCACTGAAAATAGTACAAAAACACATCTCTTTGAACTTTCATAAAGGATACCCCCATTACCTTTACTACTACCACCGCATGCCACCACAACCTATAATTTTGTATGTACATCTGGCCATAGTGTTCTTGTAGTTGTAGAGCTGTTTGTGCATTCCCTCTTTCATCCAGAAATGGTCCAGCGTAGAGGAGCTTTCATAGGACTTGAACGCCTTCGAACTTTGCAACTTTTGCTGGGTGGAATCCTTCATTATCAAATAATCTACTTTACATTTACTTAAAGGTAATATCTTCCCTGACATTGACTCTTCTGATCTTTAAAATGCTAGAATATTGTTACCTTCACCAAAACATACCTGAGTCGTGTTTTGTTTCATTCACACATGTTTGAGTAGTCATTTATTATTTTGTCTACATCTCCAAAATTTAAAATGCTCTGTTCCACATTGTGACGTCAGGAGAAACAGTAGTTTTAGTGGAGATTGGAAATTCAAAGGCTGATATTATCCAAATGATTCTAGTGGAGCTGCATGGAGTTTAAAAACACAGTGGAGCACTTCCTGTACAAGACATCACAAGGTCGAACTGATTGGTTTCAGTTTTAGAGAAGAACTCATCTTAAACATGGAGGGTTTGTATGTTTAACATGTGATGATGGAACAAAACAACTCCAGGTATGTTTTTGATGAGGGAACAACATAGTTGTTTGCAGGTGTTTTATTGCAAAGAAAACTGAAAACCAAATGCATTCTTACTCACTTTAATATTCCATTCAAACAATAACATCTCCATGAAGACAAGCAGGTAGCTGATCCCCCTCAGATAGTTAAATTGTGCTCCTTTAAACACATACTCTATTATTGTTGTTATTGTCTGTGTAGAAATAATTGGATGTCAGCTTCACATACAGTCCTGTGTCACTGTAAGTCTGGCATAAGTCCTACATTGATTATTAGTCAATTAGGTCACAGGGAGTACACAGTAACGGTTGAAATAGGCCACCTGTGGACTGTAGCTTGACCCAAGGATTAAGATTGGGAAGGCCTGGCTAAAAGGAGGAGACCTATAGATAATCTCTTCCTCTGATTGTGCTTCCCTAGAATAACATGTTGCTTTGGGGTTCATTATTTAATTAGGTTATGCACTATTATTGTTACTTTTTAATGTTTAATTCAGTAATCGAGTCAGTTATTTATGAATTAGTTATGTACAGTACTGCATATAGCATTGAATAGTTGTGAATAATTGGGTGCACCTCAGTTATTATTAGAAATTAGTCAGTTGCTTGTGTGTGACTGTGTTGACTGGATATTGATAGTGGCTCTGGGGCTGGCTGCTGCGGTGTCAGTATAGTTCCTCACTGTCTTTTCTTACATGTGTTTTGGATGTGGCTGTTGGAGCTAATGGGATCTTGACCACTGAG